TTAGCGTTTTCCATTCTTCTGTAATCTTAAACCTGAACCTATGCTTTGTTTGTTATAATTAAATAAATGTTTCACTCATTCCTTAATTATTTGAACCAAGAAATAGCAGTGAAAAGCAAATCCTTTTGATTTTTTGTCAGCCGAAATGTGCTAAAACGCAGATACCTGCGAAACACAGTTTATGTTCTAATGTGTTTTAAATTAGTGGTAGTCAAGTAGTTAAGATTTTTTTTTAATAGACAACATATCGAAACTTTTCCGTAACTTATACAAAAATAAAACGCTATAATTACACCTTATATACCTATGGTATGTTATCAATTTTTGTTAAAAAGCTAAGTAAATAATTAATTCTACTTGCCTACACCTGGAAAAAGCAGTGATATTTTGTCAAGATTTATGAACGCCCACGAAGGAGCTCGTGAGAATCCCTGGAGAAATAAATAAAATCTCTAACACTCCCGAATCGTGACGACAGGGGAATAGATATCTTTTATCTCGTTTTCAAACGGCATCTTTATAAGTAAGTTGGTAGTATAGAACTAGAAACTCAGACAGGAAAAACTCAGGGAGACAATTCTTTTAATATTTCAATTTCTTTTAAACATTTTGGATTACACATTTTTTTAATTTTCATTTTTTGGAAAATTTTCGTATTCCATCAGAGTAGGATGAAGGTATGGTATGGTAAGGATGAAGTAGGTATATGAAATTTTCAGTTAGGCACATTAAAAATGGGATAATGTCATAGTCATACAGACAAAATTAGAAAAGGGAATTCTATTTTTGACAGTTTATAAAGGCTTTACAATATTACATGAATGCTATTGCTAGCTTTACAATATTCTATAAATATTTTTTAAAATTTAATAATATAATTTTAGAAAACCTAACTTAATGTCTACAGTGTTAAAAGTAAAAATACCCTGAGACTACGCACTAAATGTGGTAAAAGATCAGATAGAACTTAATTTCTAAAACGTTATGGTACCGCCTACGATTTTCATTGACCTCGTTTTACAATTGAAAACGATTAATACAGCTGTCGATTCCAGAATAATGATATAATTGCCTGAGAGTGCCATCCATGCCACGCTCTTACTCTTGATTGACCGTTGATTTTTACCCGCGCGAAATTATAACATTCCAATTTTAAAATTTTCACAACTATGCGAATTTCGAAATTCAAATAGTGTTCTCTTATTTTGATCGCTTGGGATTACTTCAAATACATTAATAACTTCTCAGAACACTTATTATTACTTAGAAAAAAGTATTGTTACCAATGTAAAAATATATAGTTTTGGTATCACGTTATTAGGTTGAAGAAAAAGAGGGCTTTCGGGTGAAACCTTGATGAAAAATAATAGTTTATTACTAAGTTTGAATGCTACATACCTACCTAACTTGAATAATCTAACTTACAATGGCCGCCTGGATCATAAATTGGACATTTAAACCGTAAGATACGAGGAAACTCTGAGTATAAATCCTCCTTGTATAGGTTTTGAGGTTACGATAATTAAATAATGTTTACATACTAGCAGAAACAATTTATCTTACACTGTTTGTTGTACACAGTGTAGTGAATAAACAGAGAGTTCTCTGTATTCGGGCGGTATGCCAATCCACTTAATTTATCAAATATTATACGCCACATTGTTATTATGAATTAAATTGATATTTTTTCTCATTTTCCTAATTGGGTTAGGAAAAACAGATCGATTATGGACAGGAAAGCTGAAGTATTAGTAAAGGTAGTATAAGTTTTTAATTCTACATACCTCCTTTATTTTTTATAGAACAATCGACTAATTTATAACCAGGTGATTACAATGTTCTGATGAAAATTCAACCTTAAGACTTTAGCAAAAAACTGCATATTAATCAAAAACAACTTTTTATTCAATAACGTAGCGTCACTCATAAATTAAAATAGCAATGATTAGTTTTTAATGTATATGCTATTAAAATAAACTGACAAATGCATGAATGATTGACATTCATATCGATAATTATCATCCAAGCTATTACAAATTACGGAGGTAATAAGAGATATTGTTATTTGCTTATAGAATAGTGTTCTATACCTAAGTAAACCCGATAATGTTCTTTGAAATTTAACCTTTGGTAAAAAATCTCTTAATTCCCCCAAGGAATTAAGAGATTTCAAAATATGACAAGTTTTCTCTTTTATAAAATGAGAATCATGAACGAATTTATTTATAAAGTACATAAAAAAACATAAAGTTAAAAGAAAATAACATGTCATTTTGTGAATTCGAATAACGCTGGCTAGATGACCGTTTAAAATTTCAAACAAGACTGATAGAATTACCGTTTTCGATATTCAATAAAGTGCAGAATATAGCGATTACTTCACCAATGCGTTCTTAATTTAAAGCAGCATTTATTTGATTTTGAATAAACAAAGAACAATCGGATGACAATCTTCAGCAAACAAAGGATCCAATGGAGCGCGGGATGCTGCGGGCACGTGAGATAAGTAAATAACTCGATCAATTCGAGTTATATTTAGAAACATTGAGATTTACGAGTGGAGTGCAACTTTGAAGTGTGGCAAACGTTAGGTATTAATCCTGAATTGGAGATAGCATTTACTTTCGAGTTTGTTGGCAGAAAGTGAGAGTATACACACACAGTTTGATGTTACGCTACGTAGGTATTTACATAAGTATGTTTTGAGTGAAGAAGGAATCCCTCTTTGTTTTACTCATTCGATATCAAAATGTTTAACAAGGTGAAGGCTAGTAGCAAGTCCTGCTATCTGACAAACCAATCAAAACCTTCTTATGTTTTGATAGTATTTTGTTTTCTGATTGATGTATCAGCTGAATGGAGAAATCATTCCAAGCGACCGACATAACTTTTAATTCAATTTCCACAAATTCACCTGTTCTCGCCAACCTTGCTCCAATTTCTTTTGTATAGCCATGTTTATGGCTTCATCCATTCAAAGTTTTAGACTAGTTGTTAGTCGTACCTATCCATTTAACTCATATTCGAAACCTTGTAATAGTCTTTATAGCCATTAATTTGTGTGATAGAGGTCTCAAAATCGATATTAAGATTTAGTCTGTAAAGCATAAATGTCATGCTTCTGTGATTTATGTAACGACGCATTTTTATTGAAGATCTAATCAATCAACAAATAGGGAAGCTGTGAAGGCCACACGTTGACATAACACGATCACCTGAATGTAGGTAGACCGGTTAGATCAACCTCCTGTCTAATATTTATGTTAATAGAATCAAAATTGATTTTGCGTCGACGCTTTAGTGCAAGCGTTAGATATAAACATCATAGAGCAAGCGTTATGTACGAGTATAAACTAGAAACGTTCCGTTTAAAAAGTATTTCCCATTTTTTTTCTAATATTTTGTATCTAGACATTGTAATGTGTGTTTTTAAGTTAAGGGCTAAGCACCTTTGATGCGTCAAAACCAAAAATTGTTCGCTGACTGTGATTTGAACGCAAGCAATTCTATTTAATAATAATCAAATTTCTTGTATATAGGTATGGTTCGAAAATAAAAAAAGTATATCAATATGTTGGTAGTATCATAACTCTGGCATGCAGTGGAGCGTATCATGCAGGCGCGCGGGTGCGCAGTATGGCCGCGCCTGCGCCCGCGCAGCTCGGCGGACCGCGACCGGCGCCGCCGAGCGCGCCTGTCAATATGATGTAATCACACAAGGTCGCCTACAACCACGATATGCTTCGCTGCAGAAGATCCATGATACAATGCATGAAGACAATGTCACGTGCGCGTGAGCATAAGTAACTTCCATAGAGGGCGTTGCATATCTTCCGGTTTGAGTATTTGATTGACAAGTAGAGCTACTTTGAACAACTTAATAGAAGAAGTAAAGATGTACGCAACATACAGTTAAACATAAATGAAAAATTAAAAGTAACTTACCATAGAGTAATTTATCTTTACTTGTACAGTAACTTTAAGTATTTTATAGAAAAAAAAAATTAAATGTACCTTCTCTATTTCTCTCTTTTGTGGCTTGCACTCTCGCGCTGTCACTGGAACCGGTTAGTTTGTATACAATCAAGTTTTTTCTGTATTCATTGAATCATGTTTCCTATCATATTATTTGGATCCGGATTCATCTTCTATACGATGTGCTGTATCCAGTTGTGATATGGGAAAATGATATTCTCTGTTCCTTGCCTATGTTAGACCATGTTTAAGTTGTGTTGGGACATATTCCATAAAACATAGAGTATTTAGAATAGTCTTAGCTACTTTCAGTAAGATTTCTTTTTTGACCTACTTACCGATATCATTATGTCCTGTAAGTTTCTAGTTGTTTGTCTAAAATCTAAACAAGTATAGAAAGTACTTTGCAAATTTATTTACTCAACTGTGTGGTTAATGACGCCATTTAAATGCATTCGTATGCTAAGCTGAATGAATGGAGGTGAAACCTCTTAAGTTCTAAGTCAACGAACATTGACGCATAATCTTTAAAAAGTAGGGTTAAGCTAGTTTACTTTAGCGCTTGACTTGACTTAGCCATGTAAGCAGCTGACTAGACAGAACACATATTGCATTAGTTGCATGTTTCATGTTATCTTTTAGTATCTTGTTTGCACGGAAATACTGCTTACTTGTGAACACAATGACTCTTGGTCTTAAACTTTGTTTGCGCACACGCAGGTCGCACGTCTCGTCGTGCGTTTGTCTTATATTGCAGCAGCAGGCTGGGTGATAGCCCAACGCAAAAACAATCATATGAACATTATAATCAGTGTATGACGCGCAACACGATGCGCCCAAAAACACGCCACATCCCTAGTACATGGGAAAGAAAAATGCACATTGTACATAAAATTAAATGTATTTCATCTATATTAGTATTTAATTTACATAAATAAATAAAATAAATTAGGTAAAACTTAATTACAATAATTTTGCTGACGGCTTTTGTTTTGTCGATTGGAAACCATATGTTGAATTTATTTTTATCCAAGAATGCCGCCATCAGTAATGTCAAAAAGCACTTTTTCTAACAACGCCTTGGTTGAAGGCAATTTTGAATATAAAACTCTTTTAGACCTCTGTGCGGGTGAACCTGTAATTTCTTCTATAACATCAAGTATATTCTCTTTTAGTGATAGATCATCAGAAGTATTTGCCAAAGATGTAACTTCTTCCGTTTCATCGCTCATATCTTCTGAGATATTTTCAAGCATTTCTTCTTCATTGGATTCTTCTGAATGTGCTCGTGAATTAAAATCTTCTGGAGTAGTCTCATCTAAAGTTTGTTCTAAAACACTATGAATATCTACATCAGACAGAATTGACTTTTCTGCCGGAATTTCAAATATTGCACCAATGTGTTCTAGTTTAGTCTGTTCATTAGGAAGTGTAGTATCTATAGAATAAAGAGTTTTATCTAACGTGGAGCGTGAAGTAATCGGAACAATTTTAGGCTCATGTATATCTTCATTTAAAGGTGATAAGTCGTCATTGAAATCGAGAGAAGCTAGATTATCATTTTGATTTTGGCCGTTGTGAATTACTTCGGCATTAAGTTCATTTAGTTCTGTACGATTTATATTCTGTTTATCTACAACAATTTTATCTGATGGAATATGTAAAGTTTCATATGCATTTTCTATGAGAGCTGAATTATTATATATATTTGCAACGGGAGTTATATCAAGAGTAGCTTCTTCTAATTGTATTACAGGAGTTTCATTACTGATATCTGATTTAGGCGTTTCGGTATAGTACAGTGTTTTATCTAAAGTGGCAGAAGACGTTTCTGAACTAGGTTCCACTTTGGGTAGTGACAATCCCTTCGCAAAAATATCCGTTAGTATGTTTTCTAATAGCACTTTAGTAATTGCAAATTTCGAAGGTGAATACATTTTTTGTTCTGATGGTGGGATATCATTTACATTAATATCTTTATTAGAGTCTAATTTTGTGTCTTCTGCGACTAACATACCATTACCATAATTTTCCAAATTTGGATCATAGTCATTGATATCTTCTTCTTCAAATGTGGAAACATTAATATGATCTATTGTTATGTTTGAATTCGTGATGTTCAAAGTTTTATCATATTCTTCCATGGGCCAATTGTTTTCAGTGTCTTTTGAAACTGCCAAATTCACATTTGAATAGTTTATGAGTGTCTCATTGGAAAAAACTTGTAGTACTTGAGGTGGGCTTTCGTTTGCTACATTATCATCGGAAGCTACAATTTCTTCTCGTAATATGTTTTCTATTGGTAATAATCCTTTTGAAAACATATCCCTCAGTACATTTTCAAGAAGAGCTTTACTAATCCTCAATTCAGAAGGTGAGTTTGGTGACAGAATATCCTCATTAGGTATAGATATTATAATTTCATCTATTGGTACAGTTTCATTTTCGTTTATCTCAATTTTTTCCGGGTTTGGTACATTGATTGCACTACCGTGGTATGTATTGGTTTGTGTTTTTGGAAAATTTTCACTTACATGTTCGAGAGGAGTGCTGCTTTTATCTGGTATATCAAGTTTAGCTATAAATGTTGATGTATCTGGTTCAACTACTGATGGTAAAATGATGTCGTCAGAAATATTGGTTAATACATTCTCTGGAAGTGGTTCGATTGTGTTTGATAATTTATTTTTTTCTTCGTTATCATTGGGAATGTTTTCTTTTACTGACATTGACTTTTTATTGGAAAATTGTACTACGTGCGAGTCGTTGTCTTTATTATGTATTTCTTCATCTTCTCGTATATATGACTGGTCTGTAGAAATATTGAAACATGGAACTTCATCAGTGAAATCAGCTGGGCCATCGACTTGTGATGCATTAAAATTATATAGATTATTATTTTCCTTCGGATAAGTCTCACTAAGGCTATTAGGAATTGATGTTTCTTTATCATAAGGTGAATTGTTAAATATTGAAGAAGAAATATCTGGATCACTTTGTGCTCGTGACAGTAAGAACTCTTTTCGTAAAACATCCGTCAGAATACTTTCTAAAAGTTTTTTTGTTACCGTTATTTCTGAAAACGAAGACGAAGACGACAGAGTGTTTTTCTTTGAAGAATCAATATTATATTTGGGTGTATTGCTATTAGAAATAGTTGATTTGTTCTCATTTTCTGCTGATGATACTTTATCTGTAAGATCTTCTGCCGTGGAATTATATTTAAAATCTTGTTGATCATCAAATCTTTGGGATGGAGTTGGATCTGCAGGGATTGCAATATCAACAACTGGAGTTTCTTCTTTTGAATCATCACTAAAAGATTTTTTAGATGAATTTAGCGAATTGTTACTGGTAGTATTAGTATTCGGATCATCAAATGTTGTTTTTTCAAGCGATTTATTTTTTCCTGTTTTCAAAATATCTAAATTTTTGGCGGTTTTTTCCTTTAAGACCTTATCTTGGGAAATATTGACACCCAATAATGACAATTCACTACTGCCGTTTATGAAAGTTTCGTGATTTTCTGTAGGTTTATTGAAGGCAACTGAAATATCTGAGTCTGTTTTATCTACCGTTTTAATTAAAGGTTCAGTGTCTTCTAATTTGTTAAGTAGCATTGATGACTGCACCCAACCTTTTTTAGTTTCAGAAAATTCTTGAAAATGAGGTTTTATTTCTAATTCTGCGGGTGTAGCTTCAGGACTTATTTGAGTTAACGGAAACGATAACCGTTTTGTAAAAATATCTAAAAGTACACTTTCCAAAAGATCTTTGGTCACTGTTATAGCAGGAACATCGTCTTTTGTTTTTGAAATTGGATTATTTGACTGACTGTGCAAATCCGGGTTTTCTGCTTGCAAAATTGGATTTGATTTATCATCAAATTCTTGGCTGTTGGAAAGTTTTTCATCTAAGGAAGATCTGTCTGGAACTGCTGACTTTAAAGAAAGATCATTTGATATTCTTGAAAACGGGGCGTTCACTATTGTATCGGTCAATTTTGGTAAGTCGTGAGTTCCAGGAACATCTGAGGTTACTATAAATGGAATAGCTTCAGAAATTGTAGAGATTTGTAAGTCACTTCCTGTATTAGTAGTATTATTATCATCATCAGCATTTCTTACAGTATCAGAATTAGATAAAGTATTAGAAGAACCTTCTTTATTATTATTTAAAATATTTGAAAAGATCTGAATGGAGGAAAGGGATGAATTTGAGTCACACTCAATAAAATTATTTTGTTTTGATGGGGTTTCTGATGCTGGGCTTTCAGTAGCTACATGGGTGATATTCAATGAAGAAGATAAAGGAATAGACGGTGATAAAGCTCCTGTATTATACGTGTTATTGATATCGGCTAGTACATTATCTAAGAGAGCTTTTGTTATAAGTAACTTTGAAGTTAAAGATGATACGTCTGTTGGTAATTGATCTTTCACTGCCATATCAATTTGAAATATGTCTTTAAGAACTGATGAACGATTTTCGGGTAGTGTTAGAAATTTAGTGTTTTTATTTTCAGGGCTAATATAGATTGATGAATCGTCTATTGTAGATGAATTTTGCGCCGTTTTTGCTGTTGATAAAGATATGTCATTTATCTTATCAGTCACCTGTTCAATTTCATCTTTGACTGATGTAATTTTGGTAACTGGTGGTTTGATTGCCTCTAATGCTGATTCATGTTGTGGTACAGAAAGAGCAATTTGTGTAACCGGTATCCTTGGTATTTCATCTGATTTATCAGTATCCTTTAAAACGTCTGCAGGAAATGAGATTTCAAATTTATTTGATGGATGTTTCAAACTTGAATGATCAAAAAATTGCATTGGCATACTGTTCTTAGACATATCTAGATCTGCGGCCGCGTTAAAATTAACACTTTCATGTGAAACTGGTTCTTCCTTAGGCAATTCGTAAAAATCAGGAAGTAACATTCCCATTTTCAATGGCAAATCATTCATATCATTTGTTGTAACGTCGACATTTTCATGGGACAGAACTGCATTAGAAATTGGTGCAACCAAGTTATTTGTAAGATAGGGTTTGGATTCAAGTAATGAGGGCGGTTCCATTTCAACAGACGATAGCAAATTGTTATTAGTCTGTAAATATGGGGTTGAAGGAAAAGTCTTGAGTTTTTCTTCATTCAAAATTTCTATTGGAACAAAGGTCTCTGAAGCTTCATCAGAAATTAGTAAATCAATTGGTTTTTGATTTTTAATTATTGGCTTATCTGGAATAAGTAGCAATGTATCTTGAACCGTTTTCGTGCTGTGATAATCATCGTTAGAATCTTCGATAGGCACTAATTTGACATCAATTATTATTCTTTTGTCATACGATTTTGCTGTAGGAGAACCTGACGAAAGTGAAAGTTCTATCGGTATACTTGTTGTATGAGCCTCTGATACAGTTTCTGGTAATATTCTTTCTACAGGCTTCATTAAAGTATCAAGGTTTTCAGAAATTGATAATGATGTTTTCAATTCATCTACTGGAGGTAAAGAAACAGTAATAGACTCTTTCGGAGTTTTAGGTTTAGTTATTTCTGCATAGATTGGCGAGTTAGATGATTTTGCTATGAAACCGTCACTTATGGCCCAAGGTAAGTCACGAGAAAATAAATCTGAACCCGGAATAAATACTTCAGGATTTACTGTATGATGATCTAGTTCAGCTCCTTTATGCAAATAATCTGATGTGGCGTTTTTCTCTTCTGTTATAAATTGATGTTCTGAAGAAGTATTAACAAACTGTTCACCAGAATCAATTTCACGCGGGACTATTGGTAATTCATTATGTATGATGTTATTGTAAGGTCCATGACTCAATGAAGTTGTATAACTGCCTGGAAAATCAAAGATTGGATGCTCTGAATCCAGCATCTGTGGTAAAGTCTTCTCAATTTTTATATCATCACAAATGTCTGTAGAGTCATCATTGTGAAGTGATTTCTCATTACTAGTTGAATTGGTAAAGGGTGTCATATCGATTACTGATTGATGTGTCGAATTATTTAGAAATGGTTTCTCTTTTATCGATGACTGACTGCTCTCATTAATGTAGCACATAGAATTTATTGGCAACGGTTCACATACTGGCAGCGATGACTCATTGGTTGAAGTATCATTTGGTAATTCACTAACGAGTGCAGTGGAGGCAGGATTATCATTCAGAAGGGGCGCCAGATTAGAAAGGTCATTATTATGTTCATTACTTGGCACAGTTTTATTGAATGACGCTTGAGATATATTTTGTTGGCAAAACTCTGTTTGCGATGGGACGTCACTCGATTGAGTGTTTGGAATATAGACAATGATGGGTGTATTCCCAGTAGTGTCAATCATATGTGATTGAGGTTGACCGACAGCGTTGTTATTGATAGGAATTATAATTATAGACGTGGGACCTGGAGCCGCGTGATTTGTTAGTGTTTGGTTGGGTCTATTAGTGAAAACCATTTCTTCAGGAGCACTTGTAGTAGGTATTAATATGTTTTCTATTATTGTAGAATTTTCTATATTAGTTTCCTCCAATAACGATGATATATTGTTTTGTGGTATACAGACAGGCATTTCATAAAGTTTTTCTTCCAATGGTTCTACAATTGTAGCTTTGCCTGAAGCATTGGTCGATTGTACATTGTTTCCAATGTCCCCAGCAATTTCAACGTAATCTGCTTTAGCAGTCGTGCTAGTAGTTTCATTTATTGTAGTATAGGTTTCCTTAGCAAGTTCCGGACTCATACAAATATTTTCAACAGATTCTGAAGAATTAGTTTCATCACTGTTTAGTATTTCTTCGATAGCTGCTAATGCTTCAGCTAATAAAATTTTCTTAGTGTGTTTCAATGCCTTTTTGTCATTTATTTTTGATTCTGAACGATTGATTTTTGTGACTCCTTCGTAAACTGGGTTATCTTCGATTGAACATGTGTCTGGTGTATCTGAACTGGGTGGTTCTCTTGAAGGTGATTCGACTGTGATATTGATACTTGGTGAGTTTTTAGGAACTTTTTCTAGCAAACTAGCCGCGATGAAATCTTCAGAAACTTGTTCGCTAGCGGCTGTCTTTTTAAAGTTCAACCCGCTCTGTCCTACGTTACTACGCTTTGAGTTATCAGTAGAAGTACGTTTATTTTCATCTTTAAGTTTATCATAAGTCTTCAAAAACTGTCTTGCCTTGGTTTTCGTCATTGTTGTTAAAGGGTTTTTCTCGATTTCATTAATTGGTGTTTTATACCTTGGAGTTTGAAGTCCATCGAAAGGAGTTGGTGGAGCTAGTGAAAAGCTATTCCAGTACATAGGCTCCCATGTCTCCATCGTGTTAAGAGGATACTGGATGTCAGGGAACGCCTTTGGATCCAGTAAATTGTTTGTAGATCCCGATGAAAAAGTGGTCGGAATTGTTTCTTTTGTCGGCTGATTAATGTCGTAGTTTAACTGAGCATTACTTTGAAGCTTGCGTTTCATCTTCCTTTCCTTTTTCAATTCATTAATAATTGAACTTTGTGTGTTACTACGTAAATCATTTGCCTTTGGTCTATTAGCTTGATAGTTCGTATTAATTTTTTTTGTTAGGTGGAACGGATCTCTTCGACTGGTATCCAACGGGAAATCATTTTCAGGGAAATTGTGCTTCTTAAAAATAGATTCCTTTTGAAATAAGTTTTTGCTGATTCTAGCATTTTGAATTGTTTTTCCGGTTGTTTGTTTTGATGTCTTGTCGGTTCGTGCCGGTGCAAATGGTGTTGATAAGGGATTGTTTTTAGCGGGGTTCAAGTTGTTTAGTAGGGCAGATTTTCTTGGCGTTCTTGGCATGCAATGTCTGCACGCTATCTGTAATGGACGAAGTTTTGTCAGCTACAAACTTACCGAATCTATTCGCAAATTCTTCAGAATAACACCGTCTAGTTCCTAATGTCGTAAGACACAAGTTTTACGCGGATATTTCCATTATCATTCATTTGAACATGTTACACAATTGATAAAACTTACAGATATTTTGGATACAAATGTACACTATTATGTTAGATATTTTGACTCCTTGACGTGACTTGACTTCTTGAAATTGCATATCAAATTAAAGACGTTTAAAAATTAAAAGTATGGAATGAAATAAAAGGTACTTACTTGTATTATCACAACAATCACTAAAGCTTTGGCCGCCTTCCCCCACAGTCCCATCTCATTAGAATATTTCTAAATGAAAGCGAGTATTATTTATATACATTTTTTATCATTAAAATCGATACGTGATCAAAAAACATTAGCTCTTTTGACGAAATCTTCATGTAATCGAGTGTTTAATAAGTTTGATAATAGATTTATAGAAATAACTATGATAATTATGCATGTACATTGCTGTAATAATTATTATTTGAATGAAATAATGTTACTGATAATATGATAATAGACTGTCTCTTTTATTTGGTACTTATATGTTGCTGCGAAAATTTTGTTTTGATGTTAACATTCATACCATTTTTATCCAAATATAGGAGAGTGAGGTGATACCATGGCCTCTCAGAAAACCGGGGTGAAACAACTACATCGTTATTTTTCACCATGTGTATGAAGTGACCAAAGGAGACCTAATTCTTCACCATCTCCATCCCTAAATCTCCGAAACCCTAAACCAAAAAGAGCCGGCAACTAACTAACTCCTCTGATTGTGGGTGTGCATGGGCGGCACCAATTACTTACCATCTGGTAATATGAATGCTCTTTTGCCAACCGTTGAGAACCCTTACCTTAACATAATATGTATATTGCTTCTAAATTTTATTCAAATAAAACATATCTTTTATAATAATTATTTTTGTTACAGGTAAACATTCGTTGTCTATTAATAAGCTGTTTTTGTTGTTGGTGTCTTTGGTGAGTCTAAAAATGAATAAACCTGATATATACATACTTAGGTATCTACAAAAATAGTTTTGTTTTTATAAATGATTGTTGTCGTAATTCTTTATGTTAAGTGTAAAAAAGGTGTTTATTCGTCCTTCTTTTTTTGTCCTTTCAAAGTGTATTTGTAACATGATAAAAATAATTGTTGCTGAAAATATAATCTAGTAGATTCTGCGAGTATTTAAATTCTTATGTTACGTAAATGTCAACTTACTAATATTAGAAACACAAATGTTTGTAGGTATGGATAGATGGATGAATTCGTTACTCTTTCTCTTGATAACTACGGAATGGATTTGAATGAAATTTGGCACAAAGATAGACTTTAGTCTGAAAAAACACACATGGTACTAGGAGGGAAACCAATCGTAGATTTCAGTGTAAAATATCTTCGCTTCTGTTGAACTCTTAGGTAAGAAAAGACAAAACGTCATATCATAACGATTTATTTAACTTAATAAATAAGTTTTCTGATAATTATGATTGTGTTTATGTGATATGATGATATTGTATGAACTACGTTCCAAGTCCAAGAGCCTATACTTTGGAACTAGAACGAAACTATAAAGCTTAACTACTGGTACAAGAAGTATTAGTTTCGTTGGCATTCGGCCCAATGTTACAAACATCACTTTGCATATTCTCAGCTGTATCAGTACTGGTATCTGTAATATTTTCATTAAATAATGAAGTCATATTTGCTGCAGTATCATTTGCGTTCAAACCCTCAAATAATGGCGTCCTTATTTGATCATGCCCTTCTGAATTGAATGAATTTCCATCGAATTCAACAATAGTCTCATTGTTTGGACTTATTAATGCTGATTCGTCAGCTTCACTTACCAATGTAGTATTGTTTCCATCTTGTATTTCTTCTTCTATACTAGTTATATTCGTCATAAATTCATCTATGTCTTTAAGTAATTCAGCAACAAGACCCCATTCTTCACAATCTACATTCGATTGATTCGTTTTTGACAAGTAATCCGTTGTATTATCAGAATAGAGAACCCCCAATTCGACTGTATCGTTCTCTAAATCTAATATAGCAACATCTTGAACGGTTTCGTTTGTGCGGGTATTATTCGTATTGATTTCATTTCCTTTTGCGTCGTCGGTTACTTTTACTTTGTGTGTTAAGGGCGACAATTTTTCTTGACTTTTGTCAGGCTTAGGCTTGTTGCTCTGAGCGATGAGAGAATTAAACGATGATTTAACGTCATCAGAGAACGGGCTCGTGTTCATATAAAAAGGCTTCGATGAATCCGCAATGCTTTCTGGATATTCCACTTCAGGGAAATATTCTGATGGAAAACCTTGTGTTGGATTGTCGTAGTTTGTTTTACTGGTTACCTTATACCTTGCTGGAACTACTTGATCTGGTTTTGATGATAAATGCTTGATATTGTTCGTTGGATTTTGCGTAGATTTGTAGCAATTAATGTTCTGTAAAGGAGCGTCAATGTAAATACTACGTATACAAATAAAATGTTTTCGTAGCTAATATTAGTGATATAATTTTACTTACCTGTAGTGTAATAAATAACAGAAAATATGTTATAAACATTTTGATATTTCTTTTTATAATTCCTGAATTAATTACAAAAAATATTTTTATATTACTATATCTAAACAATAGACTATAGAACAGTGGTTGATTCGATATTTAAGTTCGGGGCTTTATAGTGTTTGCATTTTGAAAATGCAGATTATGCAAAAATTAAAGCAACGTGTTGCATACTTTTTGGACGTGCGTTATCGTGAAAATAATATTACCAGAGCACTATCTATAGAGATGTGGTGTAATAACGTTTATTACGCAATTCGTTGATTACAGTTGTCAGTGCAAGTTGTCGCTATTTAGTTTTATTGCCGCTCGTTAAACATTTAACCCTGTCTCAAAATAAAACACAAACATAAAAGTTCACTAAGCAGGTTTTATATTTTTTTCAAATTGCATCGTTTTCCAAAAACAGAACAAAGTTGAGTAGAGGTTTTGTAGCTAATGCATTCTAAAATTGAAGAAGACAGGTGGACTAATAATTTGAAACTAAAATCTGTATCAGCAACGGCCACATCCGCAGCCACATCCGCCACCGCAACCACCACATCCGCAACCACCCCCGTAACCCCCGCCAAGTCCGCCATTTCTGCCAAACATGGCAAGGATGAGGATTGGCAGGATGGTGTCCAGGTCATTATCGTTGTCTCGTCCAATCACTTGTGGGTAGTAGCCGCCATATCCAGGGTAGAACTGGCACTGAGCCCAGTGCATCTGTGAGACAAAATGAGACGGCGTTAATCATATTGGAATGATTTATTATTTACATAATGTTGACAATAGGCCAGATGCTGAGATATTTACTGCTGAAATCTGGGTACACTAATCATCGTTTGATCTTTTCTGAATTGTTAGTCATGATATAATAATAATAATAATTAATTAAAGTTTGTTATTTTGAAAAGTTACAAAACTTAACACTTTTTAATATTGTAAAAATATATAGACTTTTCATTTTAGGTGGATTTTTAGGTGCTTGTGTCCAAAATTTGTTGGGATTTCTTTATAGAATCGGATAGATTTACATATCTGATGTTGAAACATTGTTGGCGCCCACATAGCCACGTCTCCAGTTATTATGTAGGCAGCCTTTGATGTTGTATTTACGTCCGCAGGGTGAGGAATTTGGTATTTCTAAGTAAATTTAATTTTATCCGCTGTCGGTTGGACTGAGAACCAAAAGGTTTTAAAATTTGGTTTGTTCTTGGCTTACGTTATGGTTTCTATAACATGTTGAATCTGAGTATCTGGACTTTTCATAGGCCTATAGAGAAAAAGTTGCTGAATTAAGTCAATTTAGAAGGGCTTTTAGGAGAATTTGTATAGTAGAAAGGTTTATTTCTTAAAAAAATCTTCAAGATATTGTTTTACGTAGGACAAGGGTTCTGGGAAATGTTAATGCCTTTGAGAAAGCTTTCCTTTCCAGGAAGATATTGTTTGACAATTTGTAACGCGATTGTTTTAAGGTTTTATTTTGAGTAGGCTTTTAGACTGTGTTTTTTATATTTTTACATACTTATTTAAACAAGCACGCTTCTCCCTTATAAGTGAATGAATTTTTAAAAATGCAAAATATCATGTGTGAATGAGTGATGTTATATGTAGTTAAAAAATTAATGTTTTTTTTTTATTTCAATATAATAAATATATGAAACTTACGTTCAATACGATCAAGAGAGCCGCGAATACAACAAACTTAGCTGAAGCCATGGCGACTGAATATCCTTTAACAAAACAATACCCACTTTTATATATTTTTTTGTTCTATATCGGACTATTAGTTGCTCAATTACTATATACATAGTTTCGTTAATAGGTATATGTGCCACGCTAGGCACGTAGTTCCTTGATTACAAACTATTTCCCAATTATAATTAAGGCTTTTCATAATTCAAACAAAAAGTATTTTTGTCACAATTTTTTAAACAAAATTATACTGATAAAAACATTTACTGTAGTAATCTGACATTAGCCAATAGCTAAAAGCTTGTTTGTGCTTTCTTTGAAACAGGAACATCATTAAATGATTTCTCTCACTCTGGTTGTGGCGAGAAAGAGTGTCAGACTACTCCTTCTAACTAAAAAGTACTCCGTAGCTTCTTTTGCTCCAGGCCAAGGCTGCGGTACATTTTGCGCTTGGCTCTGCAACCTTAGCTAAACACTTGAGTACATAATGTGAGATGGTTGGATCAAGGGCCTGATGGAGAAAGCAGTAGGCACTTCTGCAATTGCTTTTTGTGTCCTTGCCAGACCACTGGCCACCACTTCGATTTGTCACGCTTTTTTATGTTTTTAAGTATTTATATAAGACTAGCTATTCTCGCGCGGTTTCACCCTCTGCTCGGCTCCATTTAATCGTAGCGTGATAGCCTATAGCACTCAGGAATATTGTAGCTATCTATCAGTGAAAGAATTCCATTTTGAAATCCGACCAGGCGGCGGTTCCAAAGATTACCCCCTGCATACAAACTTACAAACTTACAAATTTTACCTCTTTATTATATTAGTATAGATTATCTGATCACCCAACATGTCCAAAAAATTGTATCTGTAAGGAGATAATAGCATATTTAAATAAATGAATTATTGTAGTAGGTATTTCTCATTCATTAGATCGGTCTTCAGTTTATTTCCTACATTATTGTGTTCTTTTCTATTAAAAAGCTTGTAAAAGAAGCATTCTAATTATAATTAGAACGTTTCTTTTTGAATTTTCAGATTAATCTGTACTTAATATCTTTAGTTACGTATAAATAATCTAAACTAATCTAAAAGTCTCAAAAGTAATTACATCAGCCATTGTAACATCTTCTTCAATAGAACAATAATAGAAATCTTATATTTACTCCGTCTATTTCAGTGAGATTACACTAAAGTGCGAAGCCGCGATATTTGACATTATTCCAAGCGTAGAATCCAATGTAAATATTATATTGAGAATACGATTTTAGGCTTTGGAGATTATTTGTTTTAAAATCGTGGTCTATTATTCACTGTACTTATAATTGTAAGTTAAAAAAAAAACTGCTGATGCTGAGATGTCATCGAGGTAAAATGGCTTAAAATCATTAATAAGGCAGTTATAAAAAAAATCTACATGGCGTCCATTGTGACTTTTTCCAAGTTATATAATGTGCACTTTTTATGATTGCTAGCCACTGTCGTGCGGTTTCATCTGCTGCCCTGCTCCTACTTGTGTGTGGCATGATTATGTTGTAAATACGATCTTTATTCAAATTTATCTGGTACATAACAGCTACTTTGTCTGCACTTTTGGTGCAGTGGCTGGGCAACTGGCTGCCGTGCAAAGTGTCGCGGGTTCGATTCCCGTACGGAACAACTGTTTGTGTAATCCACAAATTGTTGTTCCGGGTGTGGGTGTCATGTGCATGTGAAATTGTATGTTTGTAACCGCACACACGACACAGGAGAAAATCCTAATGTGTGACAACGTTTAAAAAAATATTAACTAAACATACCATAAAGATAACTAATAGGATTAAAAGCTTCTCTTTCTTTAAGACTTTATAAGTAAAGTAAAAATAGAGTTTCAAATTACTTTTTACTGCTAAATACCTGTTCTATTTGAATGTACCTAAACATGAGACAAAAAAGGGACACCTCAATCTTAATATTATTTTATGATTTTAATTGGTTTTTCACTGTACAATATGTCTGTAAACTCTCGCTTACAAAAGTAATGTAGAAACCAATCATTGAAAGCATTATTCAACCTCAACTTCGGGCTTAAATTTTGTATCTTTATTCGTACATTTTCTATAGTTAGATTATTAATCTCAATTTACTTTATCACTCTATGAATAATATTCATTGATGTTAACGATACCTCGCAGTAAATATTTATAATACCTACTCATTAGTATCACAATATTGTAATTGTGAAAATTAATTACACTAACATTCATAAATAAAAGGTATAAATAATCTAGACACGTGTCAATGAAATGTTTTATTCATAAAACCTATTTTGTATTGTTTACACAATAGTCGACTATATTAAAATACTAAATTAAAACCTTTCGAAATAGCATTTTTTCATTACGATATAGTAACACTTGGTTTCGTGTTGTCATCACTTTTAGGTAAAACAATAGTAATCTGCACTGTCATACTGCATTTATTGCCACTATTGCAATTATTATCATTGCTTTTATTGCAATCGTTGTCACTATTGCAATTATTTTTGTTGTTACAATTGCAACCACCGCAATAACTAGAGCCGGGAGGAGGGGGAGGCAATGCATTGTTGTTATTATTTATTAGCGAAGTCAGCAACAGACCCATAATCTCGTCAGTCAGACAACGGTCACCAACGTCGTCATCATCGTTTATTATGATGATTGGCGGCTCGTTGTTTGGTGGTTGAGGGTATACTGGCCCTGGTTGGCAATACGGTTGATTGTAACCTGGTTGAGGAAAGGTATCATAGCCGTAAAACGCAGGGTCCGTGTAAGGGTTGTTGCAGCGTTCACAACAGCATCGTTGGTTTCCATAACTGTTCCCGTATGTGTTGCAGGTTGGGTCATAAGGACGTTGGTAGTAATTTGAGGCTCTACCATAAGAGTTGCAGACGTTGCAGTTAACATTTCCACATGGTTCTTCGAGAAGTTGGTTGCAGTTACAATACGCGTTGCGGTATGGGTCATTCATGTTGCTATATGGCCTGCAATCTTGGTTACCACACGGAGAAGAATATCTATTACATAAAGTTCGAATACATGGTTTACATGTTAATAAGTTGAACTGAAACAATTTAAAAAGAAATTTTAATTAGGTGTTCATTGTTAACAATATATCAAACAACTGAAATGTGTTAACAATTTGTAACAACGAATGTCTCGATAAAAATAAAGAATACGAAACAAGGTTTCGATAAAAGTTACGCAAAACTAAGTCTGTTTCCAAAGAAAACCTCGGGGAAAAGGCTGGAAGGCACGAACGTAACGTAAACATTACTTTTTATCACGTTAGTTTCATTATTTCATTAAAGCGAAGAAAATTAGAATTGTTCCCAGTAGCATTCCGTTCCGACACTTGCCGTTGCTAAAAAATATAATGCTTATTACTAGGTAGTTGCAAGGAAAAACTACGTGTTCTGTAATGCTAATTATATCAAGTGTAATTAAGATTACCAATGCTTATTGCCTTAATAGGAAATATTGAGCATAATGCTATTACAATATAATCGATGGCACCTTAGAATAATGAAATAAAAATGAGAAAAAACACGCTTCCTGGTCTTAGGATAAGGAACGACAAGGTATTTCGAAAATATCTTCCATAAGATACTAATTTTAATATCTTTTCATGAAGTTGAAGGGTGTATTTACTTATTATATCTTAAATATTATATGAAACACTAACCTGTAATACAAGTAGCAATATGTTGAATGTTATTTTCTGTAATCGAACCATCTCGCCGTCCTCACTATTCCATATGGCGATAGACTCGTAAAATTCATGTTTATATTACCTCTTCGTGGCACCAATACACAAATGGGTCACAAGACATTTCATAATAATTAGAACGCCTAACGATGATTATGAGAAAATCAAGGACCCTAACGTAGGTCGATGGTTGATCACACAACAATCTTCACCAAATTTCTGATTTCTATGACTGGATTTGTTAGTCAACCAAAATATATACTTAAAGGAAAATCAAAATTATTCGGTCATTTGGTAGTAAATGAGGTTTTTCGTTGTTTTATTAAAACACAGACGCGTTAAGTATTTAAATACTCTTTTATTTACCAATCACAATATTTTATGATCCACTTTCATTGAGCTCATTTACAATTACAGTCAGTCTTAAACAAAACTGTTATTTCGTTGGGATTCTGACTTGGTTGGTTTGGGGAAGGTTCATCATTTGGGAAAGAGTTTTCAGGGAATCCTCCAAAGCCTGGGTAGCCAAATGGGAAGGGACTGGCTAAGGGGTAAGGGATTGGGTATGGTATGTAAGAAGAACAACCGCATCCATTATTTCCATTGAATCCATTATCGTACAGTCCACAGTTTCCACCACAACTGTTTCCACATCCACATCCATTATTTAATCCATTGCTACCATAACCATTGTTCCATCCTCCTCCACATCCGCTGTTCCAATTGCCACCACATCCGCCACCGCAACCGCTATTGCATCCTCCGTTGTAAGCACCTCCGCAACCACAACCACCTCTCCTGTTTCTCATCGCGAAGATAAGGTAATAGAGAATGTGATGCCAGTTGTCATCATCGTCGTCGTCAATGATAATAGGAGCCATGGGACCCGGGAAGCTTGGTGGTGCGTAGGTGGGGAAGCCAGGGTTGTAACTAGGAGTGATAGGAATGGTCTCTTGGACGTAGTAAGGTGAACCAGGCATAGCCTGAATGGTGGTAGTTACTGTCGACGGATTCGGAGGGTTGAGGTACTCAACGCGAGCTGCTTGACCACGCACCTCGCATATCTGGAGGAAAATAAACGTTCCTTAATTTTGTTGATTTTTTATTTTTATTGTTTAGTTTAAATTAGAAATAAGTCCACTAATATTTGTTTCATTTATTCAGACTAAAGAATATTTTATTAATAATATCAAAATCAACTTACCTCCCAAGTCAATAAAAATGCAGCGAACACAACGAGGTTCTTAAGACCCATTTTGGAAGTTGACGTATGATTAATGACACGTCGCATGGTCTATATATACCATGTATTTCTAAACTTTTAATGTTTACTAAATGTATTATGTAATAACCCTTATTAACTTTGACACGTTTTAAAAAGATATCCACTGTTTTAACGTGGCAATACTATATATGTACTTCGCAGTAAACTGTAGTTACTCAATTTACCAATTATTATTAGCAACCATTCCATTTAATAGGAAACAAAAGAAAACATCACATATTTACGTAAAACTATATATATTTCACAACATATACTTTCGAACGAAACGGGACATGAAAATATAACGAAAGGAGTAATGGAAGCAAGCAAAAATCAACAGATTTGTGACAGTGAGTGCGAATTTTGAATAACGTTGTAACAATATTGACAAATAAAGTCATTTAAAAATGTGAAAATACATAATGTGAAATTAGTTATTAGTGATGACAGGGCTGTTGATAGGAATAGGGATAGGGTAAGGGATGGGAATGTTTTGTCCTCCGCATCCGCCGCCACATCCGCCTCCGCAACCACCTCCGCAACCACCTCCGAATCCGCCACAACCGCCAAAACCACCATTGTCACATAGCAAAAGAAGAAGAATCGGCAGTATGTGCTTCATACCGTCGTCATCGTTGTTTGATTTCACTATGATGGGGTAAGGAGGAGGGGCACCATAGCCAGGGTAACCTTGGGAGCCGCCATATTGGGCCTGGATCAGGACGACCTGTGAGTCAAAAGAATTTTTTATTTGATTTGTAAACGTATTGCGTTATATATAACAGTAGATTTGTTCAATCAAAGAAGTTAAAAGCTGAAAGAAAATGGAAAATTAAAAAATAAAATCTATTCGACTTTTCATTTTTGCAAGGAAATAAAATGTAGAAACGGTTGAAACTTACGTTGGTAAGGGCAATGAAGCAAGCGAGCCACACGAAGGAATTCATGGTCAGCGTTGTATATTTTGCGACAATAATCAACTGGTCTTTTATACCACCATCTAGACCATATCACTGATGTTAGTAATATTCGTCGAACACAACTATTAACTTATCAGAACCTTCCAAAATTACTTAACATCTGATTACATTGTCACGTATAATTATGTAAGTAAATAATTTATTGATATACTTTTGTCTATTCTTAGATTTCCAGTGATTGGGCGATGGCAGTATACATACAGTCATGATTATAATTTAATTATGTTGAGAATTTAAGATAAAGACTCTTGAAAGTACTAGCTTTTTTTATAAATTCCTAATTTAAAGCACACATACATAGGTAGGGTAACAATTGAACCATTAAAATAGTTTAGTTTTATACTGAATTATGACTAGAATCAATATGTGAATTTGGTTTGACGATATAATTTATTTACCTAATTTTTTCTAGTAATTTAAAAAATATCAATTAAGTAATTGAGGCAAAAACATAATTTTACAATACACATTAACATTAAAAATACAAAGAAAACTCTCATTCGATAATTCAAAATAAACATTTAACGTTACTCATCGTCAAGCAAATACATACCCTAATTAGATATGTGTAAAATCTATTTTCATTAGGTTATTAAGCTCAGTTTTTTGGTTGGATAAACACCGAAAATTTAAACGAACCTCTCTTAAAGAGATGTTAATTATCTGCAACATTATCTGCATTGCAGGCATCCGCATTTACTCGTACAATGAATTAGGAGCGCCATTGTCTGTCAAATATTTTTGATTCGATGAGAACTTTTAAGCCGACGTTTTATTGTTTTTAATGAAATAAATTCATTTATGCGCTTATGCAGATGACTAAGATCCATTTTGTTTGTAATTACATTAAGAGTAACTTGCTAACTATTTTTAGTAAAATTACATCATATTTTATTAATTTTACCCCTTCATCACCATCATTTTCAAAATCGGAGATGCAATATCCTTCCCTATTATAGTTTTAGAGTTATACTTAATTATATTGAACTCCACATACATATTTATCATAAACCTACACATAGTTAAGGACAATACAAAAATAAAACAAAATAACTGGAGTTTTCATGGAATTTAATAACAAAAAGAATATAAATGTTTAATCAGATCAATAACAAAACACATTCAAACATGTATTATCATTACAATGCTTTATAACTACACTAATACAAACACACGTATTGGATCTGAAATTTTAAGTGATACTTGGTAACTCAGCACCGAGTTAACAAAATCATCAGGAATGGAAGCATCTTCTCCAGGGCGCTGTCATCATCATCAATCACAATGGGCACGGGAGGCCCGTAGCCCTGTGGTGGTAGATATGGGGGGGAGCCGTAAGGTACGGGGCCATTGTTATAGCCTCGATAGCCGTAGGGGTTGGCTGTTACCACCTGAAAAAGTCATCATCATCATCATTAGCCAAAAAGTGCCCACTGCTGAGAAAGGGTCTCTTCTCACAAGGAGAATTTAGTGTGAGCATTAATCGCCATGCTTGTTCAAAGCGGATTTGCGATTTCAAACTTATAATTTATTAGGAATTATAAGGTTTCCTAACGATTTTTATTTTCACTGTATGTATGTAGTGGTGTCTCCATAATTATTGAAAGAACATCTAACTCGGAAAAGTCACGTTGGTACTGGCCAGGTTTCGAACCCTCATATATGAAAAGCCTCCGGGACACCGCGACATTATCTTTAACAGTGCTTCTCCGTTAAGCTAGTGGTTATAAATGCCAATATCGAGCAATTTGTGATAGTCGCGAACAGTACAAACATTATTATTTAAAAAAGTTGTTCTAACAGATACATACTTTAAAGTATCCCAAAGTTGACATGTAATACAGATTGTTTAAAAATAACCAGCCTATTATACCTTTTGAAAAGTAGAAAAAAAAACAGAGCAGAAACAAAAGCCTCACACACAAAGTTTGAATACACATGACATGTCCTATAGTCTCAAAATTATGTACAAAGGTCCTTAAACCGCAAAAATAACGGTTCTCATTAACCGAATTCAGTTCTCAAGTTACCAAAATGAGACGGGCTTAGAAAAGTATTCAAGTGATAGCATACGTGGCGAGCGTGACGATATTATCATGTAACTACGCCTTGAATGCTTCGAAAACAATGACAGTTGGGGTCAGACGAGCGAAGGATGTCATACGTCGGTCACTGAGCTCTAAGCCGATCGAGCTAAGCCGATTTCGCCTAACATCATTAGATCATTCTTGTTACGACAAGCTCAAAGCCTTATAGTGTTAAGTTGTGAATGACCTGTTCGGGAACATGACCGCATTTCTCTAAAAAATCTATCAGTAGGTACAAAGTATTTAGGCTACATATAAAATAGGGACACTTGCAATATCAAAGGTAACTGTGTAAGAAACTGATTAACGATGAAATGATGGTACAATCCAATGCATCATCAAGACAAAACAGTGCAGAAGCTGAAATAGTCCCTCCTATTTTTCCTGATCCCAATTTTACAAATTAGCAAACCACCCATCTATACGTTTCTCGAGTAAGTAAATCTTCTTCAGTATTAGCATTGGATAAAACCTATAGAATAAAGCTCCAATACACGCCTAGAATAACAATGAATACGTAACAAACTCTCCAAAAAGGTTTTATTTTCTTTAAATGTTTTTTTTTTGATAAAAGTTGGAAACTTACATCTTCCATGCATTAGATAGAATTTTATTCATTTAATTGTAACAAAATGAGTTGATTGACCTGTCAAATGAAAGTCAAAAAGGACCTTCGATCGATCTAAACTAGTTTTTAAATTTAATAGAAATGACATTTTAGAGTTATTTCTTGCCTTGACAGTTATGTATACGGAATCCTTGCAAAGACTTGAAAAATGGTACTGTTCTATTGCACAAGGTTCGTCCTCAATGCCCGCTGATGTCAGAGTCATTAACCAATTTAATTAATGGTTTGTATACTCTTTTATAGTTCACGTTTTAAGTATCAAGAGTATTGTAGACTTTATAATTGATAAATAATAGTAATCGATGGTTTTAGATATTGACAGATAATAGTAGCAAGTTTAATGATGCGACTAATAAAAATGTAATAATGAAAACACAAATATAAGTTACTAAATCCGGCAAGTACCAATATGCCTTTTTCTAAGTTATATTTGCTTTCTAAGTGTATTCAGACTCCATTGACATACCTTGAAGGAAAACTACGGGAGAAAACCTGAAACCATTATTTCGGCTTGAACAAGCGTGGTCATAAATCCTTCATAACCTTCTCCGTGTAAGGATAGGCCATTGCTCAGGAGTAGACAATTTTCTTCAGTTCTATACTGAACTAACACTTAGCAATTGAACAAGACTTTAATATAAAAAAAAAAATGAAAATGACCTAAAGTTTGAGATATCCTTCGAAGAAAAGGTCAAAGAATTAATATAAATTCCATTTTTCATTGAAAAGGATAAGGACCTCTTTAATATCAAGACTCAAAACCCTAATCCTAATAGAAAAAAAAAACTTACATTTAGGCCGACGATGATCGAGACCAGTAAGATGAAACTTGCAGACACCATTTTAATTACTATGATTGGCTAACTCGAACCTACAGAATTTATACTAAACTATATCGCTACCATTTCTTTGTCTCAAAAATATGTCTTTGTTTTATTGGAATTTATAGTCAAAGATAGACAGGTGCGATGAAGATGCATTGTGAGTCATTTGTGAGTTAATTAAAAATAATCTTTGCCTAAACGATTAGTTCTGTTATTATAGCTGACATGTTCACTTCTATTGAGGTAGTGAAGATGCGTTTGTGGAGCTGATAAGCTTATTTTTTTGTTGAATTCATATTCTCTTTATGTATTTATAATGAAAGGATAAACAGCGGTGTTTATCTTATTATGTATTGTTATCTATACTAATATTATGAAGAGGTAAAATTTGTAAGTTCTTATGTAGGGGGTAATGTTTGGAACCGCTCGTCGATTTTCCAAAATTCTTTCACTGATAGATAGCTACAACGTTCCTCAGTGCTATAGGCTATAAATCACCACGCTACGATCAAATGTAGCCGAGCAGCGGGTGAAACCGTGTGAGAGTAGCTAGTGTTACATAAGGACTTCAAACTGATGAGTGCTATATTACTGCAGAGTAGTTCCTATGTGTACCTTGTTTTTTTCACCCAGAAGCTAAACAACAATTTGTGGATCACACAAATTGTTGTTCTGTGCGGGCGTCGAACCCGTCACACGTTGCATGGTTACCCAGCCACCACGTGCACCAACCGTGCAGTGTTGGTAAATTAATATTTAATAACATGATTTTGTATTTTCTAACTTAACAAGTTGCTATTGGCAAGAATAAAAAACACTTCAATAATTGAAAACAATCTTGTTTTATTTTATTTTTTTACAAATAAATACATAAAAACGTCTGAACAATTCTTATTTCAAAACTAATACCTCTTATAAACTATAATAAATTATTTTCTTTTATTCGTATCAATTTACATATTATCACGTACAAAAGTCTTAACTATTATTATTATTAAAAACTATGGCAGTTTCTTACTCGTAATAAAGTTGAGAATTTCGTTTGTTCATAAAATCCTAATCACCAGTGCTGTCATCTTCGTAATCGGAGTCATTTTCCTCTGAAGCTTCTTCACTTTCATTATTAACGACGTTCTTCTTTAATTTTTTCTTTCCTTTGCTTTCTTTTTGGCCTTCTTCATCTTCATCGTCTGCCTTCTTGTTCCCTGCTCTATTATCCGCTATATTAGAGTAACCACCAAGGACCGTAGGCTCCGGTATATTGTTAGGACATCCACAATTCCGGCAACCACAAGCATTCTTCTCTTTCAAAAGATCTATTATTAACGGTATTAAAGTTTTAAGGTTCGATTTCGATTCCCTCTTCTGTAATTGGTAAGGGGGATAGAAATATTGAGCATCTGGTTGGAGATCGGAGAGGATGAAAGATAACGCTGAGGGTTCTTCTACTACTGTTACTGGAACTGGTACTGGTTGGTTCTGGATGTATGTTGGGAGAGGCTGAGCTTGTACTGCGATGTAAGGTGGCTGCCCTACTGGAGTCACTATAGCTTGAGGCTGTTGCGCCGGTTGTCCCTGGATGGTGATAGTTGGTCTACTCTCCACCATAGGGCGTACTGGACTCAAATTACAGGGCTGATTTGGCCCCTGAATAGCACGAGCCAATAACTGTTTTTGTATATCCGTTAATGGATTCTGAGTAGGACTGAAATTTGCCATCGGTTGGTTTTGATTCTGGCCATTGATTTGAGATGTTAAAAGGGACAACAACGAAGGGCCCTTAAGGGCGGCTAATTCCGCAAGTGAATTAGAAAAGGGCACGTTTACATTGTTTTGTTGTTGCGACGATTGAGTGTTCTGATTGCAAACGTTATTGATTTGTGGACAGTTAGCCTGTGATCTAGTTGGATTGATAACCAATCCTGGAGGTAACTGAGCCAGTCCTTGTTTGTTAAACTGTAAATTAGCAAGTGACCCGGATCCGCCTTGCGGCTGCAAATTGGCTGGGAGACTCAGCTGCTGCTGTATATTCCCACCGTTGGCTTGTTGCAAATTACCTTGCTGTGGCACATTTATGTTTAATGCTCCGTTCGGTATCTGGTTTACGTTATTCATTGTGTTCATCCGCTGCGTCGCTTGTTGTTGGAATCCGATACCACTATTAACACCAACATTTTGATTGTTATTTAAGCCTTGTTGCGCGTAAATTTCCTGGAAATACAAATAACAATATTGTTAGTTACGATAACAGTAAACAACTTTAAATAAATCCAAAAAGAAAAACATTTACCTGTAGATATAATAGCAGGACGAACGTGCCGTATAGTTTGGCAACGGCCATCTTGTAAATCTGTGGGATGTTCTTTTATTTCTTCTTATATACAACTAATTATATCTATTTGGTTGATGTGATGAAATCGGTGGCCAATTATCTTTGTATCTTTTATCTGCGCGTGAGATGTGAGCACTATCTCGTCACGTCCCTTCGATGGAAAACTAACGGAATGTCTGATTAGAGATGACGTAAAGATACGAATATGCATTTAGCTAACAATGCACCTAATAAAAGAAGCCTTGATTTTCCAAACCAAACCTTAAATATTTAAGGGGTAAAGTATAAACTATACATATAATTATCACTCCCTATTATATGGGATGATGGGAGTCATACCATGGAAAAAATGGCTGTAACATGTTAAATTCTATGACTCTGACTACCGCTACACAGCTAAAAACGTCATAGCATTTTTGTATCGACTAAGTAAAGTGTTTCTTTTACGCTTTCATACTTTGATCGACAAGCTGGCTAAGTAGCAAGAACGCTGTCACTCGGTCGCTCTCCTTAAGAACTTGGCACTTATACTTGAGCCCTGAACAATACGTAAACGTCTAGTACACAAGCTTAGGGAGTGTTTCCGATGACTCTCAACCATGAAGGTCGAGAGACGACTTGCTTCAAAGATTAATTGAAACTGTTCCCTCTTTCTATCTAATTAGTGTTGAATTTACAATATTTGAACGTACTGTCTCCAGATAAAGAAAAAACTTTTTTTTAACAACTTGCTTACTGCCTTGTATTCTGACATGGGTAATAACAATGTGTATCAAGGAACGTATTCGTGAGCTAGTAAAACATTGTTTTCAAGATGAACGATGGAGTTTCTTGATCGTTTTGCTCCATTCAAATCTACACTTTTGAACGAACACCTAGCTTCAATGATAAACAGACTGACAGGCTAGTATTCTATTTGTACGTTTCAAAAGATCCTATTTATGGTTGAGTTAGAACAAATTATATTGAATTTGACTTATCAATGTATCAAGTATACCTCTATCATCATCATCCCAACCGGAATATGTCCAATGCTGACCAAAAGTTTCAATAGATTTTTCTCCTCAGCTTTAGATTATTCTTACCATACTCAAGCTTTTAAAAAGATAATCTTTTTTTAATACTGTCATTTAATACCTACTAAAATTCCACAATTACTTTATAGAATCAATTTCTGAGCTTTAATTGCACTATTACTAAAGATTACTTAGAATAAAATGTGTTATTATACTCTATTGAGCACAAAAAGGCGGGAATGATCAAAATTGTTTAAGATTCAAACGAAAGTATTCTTTTACACACGCAATCATGTGAAAGCTTTGTAAAAAATCGAGCGCCATTTTTATTTTCGTCTTCCATTTTGGTAGAATGTTGCTACAGGTAAATAAAAGAACCAAGTATTTTGAAGATTATCTATATTAAAGCGTGCATAAGAAGAAAGCAAAGCAAGCAACATCTTTTTATTAAAAGTGTGTGTGTGTGTGTGTGTGTGTGTGTGTGTGTGTGTGTGTGTGTGTGTGTGTGTGTGTGTGTGTGTGTGTTTGTGTGTGTGTGTGTGTGTGTGTGTGTGTGTGTGTGTGTGTGTGTGTGTGTGTGTGTGTGTGTGTGTGTGTGTGTGTGTGTGTTATACAATTTATAGAATGTTCGGAACTAATAAAGTATTAGCCCTTTACTCTTCTCCGTAAAGAGATTTGTTCTAATCATAACACTTCGTTGTGATAACCTTGATGTCGATATGCTGCAAATGAATCACACACAACATACAACAACATATCCAAGTAGTACTTTATAAATATTTTACTAAATCTGTAGTTATCGTTTTGTTTTGTACCCTGATTTGTAATATCATGAATATTCCACTTCAAGCTGTTGCAATCTCTTGCAGCTGGCCGGTTATAAAAAATAGATCGGAACAGAATAAGAGAAAACAATCCAAATCTTGTTTGTCTATGCAGGCCGGCCATCTTGCTTGCTTCTTGCTCGAGAAAACAAAAATATCACCTCTAACGTATTAAGTCACAGATAAAAAACACAAACAACCAAAAAATATTCTTAGGTTTTTTCTCTATTTGATTCAAATAGTAACTATTTTTATTGTATATTTTTCCTTATATAGATTCATAGATTGACCAAATTATGTAGACTTATGAATACTAGATATTTTTGAACATAATAACCTAAAAAAAACTTCTGGTGATTTTTCAGTCACGTACACATCGCACCAAGACGTGTAACAATAAATTAATTTGAATTCAACAAAATTACAGTGCGTAGGACCGACAAGTTGCCTAGTCACTGCGCAAAACGTCCAGTTAGTCATCTCATGCCACATAGAGATTAAAAAGTACATTAAAAAAACAGTAAACAATAATCTCATCAACTAATAGAGAATAAGAAGAGAGAAGAATAATATAAATGCTAAACAACATTGCAACTTAAAAGAGGCGCATTGTGCTATAAAACATAGTAAGTTTCAGTGTATGTAATTGATTTACCAACGAAAGAATGCTAATAACTTTTAAAATTAGAATACCTAGAATGGTTTTTAAATACCTATTGTTTGTGTGTAGACATCTTTATACTGTCAACAGTATTGAAAATAGCTATTCTATTTAATAAGTTACGTAACTATCGTAGGAAACAAAAAGGAAGAATGGAGGTACTAGGGTAATTCTGCAATAATCTTAGAAAGCAAAATTTTGAAAGTCTAAAATATTTGATAGTTATATAATTACTTATGAAACTCCTTGACTAACCATGTGTTTCTGTGTTATACCGTTAATCCATTTCACTTAAAACTTGGCCTATATCAGTATAACCTTCAAACTAAAACTAATATCGCAAATTGTTTTGCGCCAATCAACTTTTGCTCTCATATGTTAAAATGGGGCGTGTGTTGGGAAATTGCCTGTCAATAAAAAAAAATTGATGATACTGCTATCTCATCATGTTTTATTAATCTTTTTTAAATTGATGACGTTAATACATTGACTTAGAGTATTAATTTGCTTAAATTAGGAGGAACCTGCGGCTGACGCTGATGCAGCATTTGCGTCATTTTCGTTTGTGTTTCTCGTTTTGTCTGAGGCCTTTGATTCGGATTCTGATTCTGTGTTGTTCACTGTAGAGATGTTGATTTCTTCTGGTTCTTGTGGATCTCCTCCGACACTGGGGCTGCTTCTGGATACCGTTGTGATGATAGGGTTATTTGTAGGTATCGGTATAGGGTAAGGTATGGGTATATTGTTCCCGCAGCTGCAACAGCCACAGCAGTTGCCTCTGTTCCTAGTTGCTAGAAGTAACACGGAGAGTAGCAGGCCTAGATCATCATCACTGCTACTATCAGCGTATGCTATTGGAGCATTGTTGAATGGTAGAAGCCCTTGACATGATACTTCGGTTTCCTGTAAAAGAAATACTGTGATTAGACATAGTTTGGAAAAATAAATGTAGGTTGTTCTTAACGGTAGGGGGAAATAGAAAATCTATAGGATTTTGGAGGTATTTTTTTCCTTTTTTGAACGAAACATTTAAAAATATCTCTATAGTAGTGTTCAAATGTATTCCTGTCTTCAACAAATACACGTAAGGGATGTCAATGAACTTTAAACAAATGTTGTTTTCCTATTACGAAAGTTAAAAAGGTTTGCGAACTCCCTGTGTGCGCTCGCCAAGTTAGATTTTTCTAGTTTAACTATTTGTTCGAATACTATCCATAACTTAAGTGTAGTAGCGTAGTTGTAACAATATTGTTCTTCGTGTGCATTTTTGAACGTTTACCTCATCAAGTTATATATGTATTGGATAATTTTTCGGTAATTATAAAAATAAGACCATTCAAATCTACTTTTTACAGAAATGTTAAGTAAATTTGAAAAAAAAACACTGGAATAAGCAAAAAAAGAGGTCGTTAAACCGACGACACTAGGCCACACTTAAAATAACAAAAATAATTGAATTCAAAAAAAAGAAAACTCACCTTATAACTAAATAAAAATATAAAAAAGATGGCACTGAAATATATTATTGATTTCATATTTAATTATTTGCAAATCAACTATTTTGGCACATTGATGCGTCTCTCTAAAGAGGTTACACTTTATTAACTAATTTCATTAATGAAAATATTTTTTATATCTGTTATTATTGCATCAATGAAGTCTCTTATCTTATCAAGAAGTAAGTCTTCTGTGTAAATGTTTGTGTTATGACAAATAAATGATTTATCTCACGTGCATCGATTGGATGCTTGGAAAAGATAAGTATTATACATGTTATCGCAATTCTTTTGTTATATTTAACACAATAATATTATACGACTTCTTAACATTTGTCTGCCTCACTGTTGTTGTACCCTCTGTTTATTTATAGTGAAGCCAAAGCGCTGTAAATTTAGCTATAAGTTAATATTGTTAATCTCATTTTAAGTGAACCATTGTTCTTATGAGAAATAAAGTTCTTTAAACCTATATTTGGTTTTTAATATTCGCAATTATTATATTAATATTCATATACTTAGCTGGTTTAATGATTTAAATCTCTGAAATAAGCGACCCGCCCCGGCTTCGCACTTCAATCAATCTTCAATCTCTATCTCTATTAAATGTAGCATCATAATCCGTTGCGTAGTTTTAAAGATTTGAGCATACATAGGCATATAGGGACAGAGAAAGCGACTTTGTTTTATACTTAAAGTCACATTATATTGTTTTAAATTGAATAAAATACTTATAAACACATTTATAGATCTACTATTTCCGTTGTAATCACTAGGGTCAAGCCGAACCCTTCCTACATGACATTTTAACACACGGAAAACTGATAAGAACGTTGGTTACTTATGTAGATAATGTTAGTTTTTTGAAGAGGAAAAAATATCCAATGATGTCTCTTCGAAGGACGCTTCATGGGGCGGGAGGGATTATGGAGGGATTGTCTTACTGACTAAAACCCATTCCTTCTCCTGGTCCTAGCTGAGCCACAGGACATTGCGCTTACACCTGAACTTATGTACGTCTTTCAATATTAAATATCTACCTTAAGATAAAGACGTTATTGGAACAACAAAACGAAAACTTTCAGCGGGAATCAAAGGAAACTATTAATTCTTAAGTCAACTCAAACATTCTACGAAATGAAATCCAGTTTCAAATTGAATTAACTAAGTTCGATTTTGGTATATTAGGAAGGAATAGTTATAATACAAAGCTTAAATAGAATTGGCTTCGACAGTTGACAGCAACGAGTAAGTAAGGCAAAAATTAATGTTAAATAGTATTCACATGTACCTAATTGTAACATATACAATGTTATCGATTCACTATGTCCTGAATTAGTTATTGTTGACGATAAGTACCTATTTCTGTATGTACTACATATTTAAGGGCCTAACCACTCACCCTTTCACTGTCTGTAAATTTATAGTTTTCATGTAATTTTTTTATTATTATTTAATTAATCAAACCCCAAGTGAACGCCGGCGTTCCCACACCTATTGTTTTTCTATTGGGTCTCGAACTACCACGATTGAAACGTTAAGAACTTTTTATTTAATAATATGTATGATCGTACCTACGTACATAATTGTAGCTTTGTTTACAAAACGATACTTTTTTGGTGAAGGATTGTAAATCTGACCTTTTTGGAGATTAGTTACAATTTCTGAAGAAGTTCAAAATAAAAAAATCAAAAAATTTATTCATACTCAACCATGTACTCATATACATTTGAGACGTACACTTTTTTGGTGAGGGACTAATAATAATCGGGCTTTTTGGTGACTAGTTTAAATGAAGTTACCTCTTCTGTCAATGAGAAGGTGAAAAAGTCTAAAATCTATGTCATTTATTTGAACTTAACCGTATAGTAAATACAGGTAGGTAAGTACGTGCAAATATAATAATAGTCCATTCAGTCTGTTCGTCAGTGAAGCTATGAGTTCGAAGTAAGTACAAAAGACAAGAAAAAAAATAATTTTATTGAAAAAATCTGTTGTAAGTGTCAATCCATTGAAATATTGACTGTAGTTAGCTCCAATATCAGAAAGACAAACAGCTAACATGACATAATAATCTTTTTCTTTTATCTTTTGGCAAGTCAAGCGTTTCTTTCTTATAAATGACGGTACCCATTACTCATAAAAATGATTTTCCTTGGCATGGAATGTTCCAAAAAAGTTGTTTCCTGTGGGACTCCTTAAAACTTGGGACCTCGGGGGCTTGAACATAACGTACATAATAAGGTAAGAAGTATTTTTTTTGTGAGGGGAAAATCGTCAAATGACTTCTCCCGCCCAGGGCCGGGCGGGAGGGAGTGTCAGACTCTTACTGACTAAAAACCCCCCTGTTCCTTCTCCTGCTCTAGGCCGAGGTCGCGGTGCCTCATTGCGCTTACCCCGCAACCCCGGCTGAACAAGTAGAAGTACTTAAAAAGTTACATTTTTGCTGTACTTACATTTATTTTTTCAGACAATTTGCAACTGTAATTTACTCTTTGCTTCGCGCTAGCAAAACTGATATCAAAAATAATAGCCCCTTAGCGGTGTCTAGAAGGGTGCCCGGTGTTTAGGAATAGAATTGCCCCTGAAAAATAAGCATATACAATTATTTATTCTTTTTGTTGATTTCTGTAACTTTATTCAAACTAATATTATAAATGCGAAAGTAACTCTACGTACCTGTCTGTTTTTTCTTCACGTCGAACTACTGAACCGATTTCTGTGATATTTGATACAGACATAGTTTGGTACTCCAGAAAGGATAAAATTTATCAGGAAATCACTATTCCACGCGAACGAAGTCGCGGGCAAAAGCTAGTGGTCTCATAAATGATAGCTTTTTCTAAATGACGAAAAATGAGAGCTATGTTTCGACACGGATGGGTGGGCTCGACCGGAGTCATATCACAATCTTACAGGAAACCGGCGTGAAGCAACACTTACGTTGTGTTTGTGTGAGTGTGGGTCTCGAAGGCCCAATTCCCCCCTGATCCTCAATCCTCAAATCCCTTATCTTTAAGTCTCTAATAATCTCCACAAAAGACCGGCAACGCACTTGTAGAAAGTCCTTTGCTTGGTATCACAAATGTCGGGTGGCACTCATTGCTTACCATCAGGTAATATGTCCACTCGTTTGCAGACTTTTTAAATAAAAAAACAAATTACCAGTAACATTTTATCATACCTATCGGTTCAGATACTAAAAGCAGCGATTCTCGTGAGAACAAAATAACTACCATTTCCCAAAAGACACCTTATACTCGTATAAATAAATAATAAATTCAAATAATATTCGCAGCTCGTCTGTCTTAGCGTGAGGGTATCGTTCTTGCGTGCAAATTGTTTTTATCTAACAACAATTATAGCAACGTTGTTCTTAGACTCGCTTGTCTAGTGTAATTACTGTAAAAGTAAACATACATAAAAGATGTAGCTATTCGTAAGTAATAAGTGAATAGTATGTGCTATGTTATTTTAGTAAGCTAATATTTTATTACCTACTTCTGCGTGGTTTCTCAGCCGGGGTTGCGGGGTAAGCGCAATGAGGCACCGCGACCTCGGCATAGAGCAGGAGAAGGAACAGGGGGGTTTTTAGTCAGTAAGAGTCTGACACTCCCTCCTGCCCGGACCTGGGCGGTTTTCCACTCACAAAAAAAAAAAAATTGTCTAGACTGAGTTTGTTTTACGTTAAGGCGATCGACACGTTTATGGCGTTCGGCGCTCTGATTGGCCCTCTCCAAGTTAACCAACCAATCAGAGCGCTGAATGCGGAATCGTTTTGATTTAGTTAACGCCAAGCAAACTGTCACCAATTATGACAAATTATTATATGTAGTTTCATAGTCTAAAGTTATACTGGTAAGATAATATGAGAAAATATTACAGATCTTTCTTCTACGGTCTGGTGTTACCCTTTTAGGTCTACATTAAATATTTTTATCGTCTGCTGAGGTGCAAGTAAGGATAAGTCAACACCGTGCTTCGATATGAAGTAGTGAAAATAACTTATCGAAAAGTTTTTTACTATCATATTGTTTGCAATTCAATTAGTCAGTGTCACCATCTGACACAGAACAAGAAAAGCAAATCTCTGAATGTCAAATTGCAATTATGTACATTTTTGTCAGCCGTCTTGTCATACTAGTAGTCGAGTTTGCTAAAATACTTTTGAAGATCCAAAGCCTAACAAAACGCAATAAGCTTTTTGTATTTTTTTTTTCTAAATAAAAACGTCTTTTTAACCCTACGTCTATATAAAACACTAATCTTAAATTAATAAGTCAAATCTATCGTCACTAAGATTCTCTCAAAGGCCTTACTGAAGCAATTTTATAATACAAAGTCAGCAGGTCTCGTGTGTCCACGTTTTATATTGAATATATTAAACCTATATGAGATTGGAGCTGCTGTTAGCACAATTTTATAGTATCATCTATCAAGCTGCTTTTTAGTTAGATATGCTTAGAAGTGATACTATATGTATCTACTATTTTTGATGTTCAAAAGTGCAAATAATGGTTTAAAATATAAACATGATGTTACATTGAATTTGAAGATGTATAACGTTTAGAAAAGCCAACAGAATTATTAGAAAACTACATCTTGTGTTAGGAATGTTGAATATAATCTAGCGAAGTTTTTGGTAGAATTTCATCACGAAGAATATGAAAAATCAATGTAAACGATATGTTATATTTGGTTCAGACATTTTTTATGGGATTGTCAGGCCTTAGGCTTGCTTGCTTCCTTAAAATATCACGTGGAGACGCTTTCAAAAACATCAAGCCTTTAACTAAATTTATTGACTTAAGGTATGACGCCACAATAAATTGAACATAAACCGTCGTCAGGAAGATCAATTAACGCAAAGGTTTTAAGTATCTTAATTGATAATTTGGATGGCTTTTACTCAATTAAAGCGGCTTCATTTCAATTTAATAAATCTTAAGCTTAAGCTATTGCTTTCATGTCTCAAGAATTTCATTTTAATTTAATACATTTACTTACTTCGTCTTAATTAAGTTTTACAAAGGACTTTTAATAGTAGATATTATTTTTTATCAATCGATACCATTCATATGTGTTCAAAAATCGAAATCACTACATAGATATAACAAAGTCGCTTTCTCTGTCCTTTTAAAACTACGCAGTGGATTTTATCCAGCTTTTTAATAAATAGGGCAATTGAAAAGTTTATATGTATAATAGCATCCATTAAATAATGGAGAGAATTAGTTTCAGCATTGCAGCCGTGCAAAGCCGGGGTCTATTATTTAAATGAAACCTATTCACTTTGTAATGAAATAAACCTGCTTTAATGTCCATATCATATTCATAAAGTTTATTGGATTCCATAATATACCATAAGGTTGAAAAGTAGATATAAAATGTTTGTGGTATGGTGGATTGTTTTTGAGCCTTCAAATGCCTTTAAGCTAGCAAAAAGTTCAATGCAGCTACTTAAAAAGAGTGTAGGATCGCCAGCGTGTTGCAAATAGCACAAGACGATGACTATGGTATTGATCTGTCTGAGGCGGCCTACATAGACTGTCTGGGACAGGAAACCCTGCATTCAGGGAGTGTCTCAAAATGGTGCACTCTACAAGTGGTCGTATTTTTATTGCGAACTACACAACATTTTAGAAATTTTATTGACTAGAATTATTTACGAAACATTTTTGGGACTACTACATATTACATTTTAGCATGTACTAAAATCAGCTTGTGAGCAATTTCAAAACATGTTCGCTACTTGAAACCCAAAAATCTGAACTGGCCCAAAATAACATCTGTTGTTTTGAAGCAAAATAAATTTTTATTTTCTTGATATTCAATGCATATCGATTGTACTGTACCTACGTGCAGTATTGTGCGTAGCACACTTTATATCTTGTATTGTTCAGATCAAGTGTTGCACGTGTAATCAAGTAGGTGTTTTACAATGATGTAAACGCCTATCATCTATTTTTACGAGGACAGGGAAATAAAACACAGGTGTATTGTCTAATATTATATTGACTAAAAAACATCTCATCAAATTGATTGTCGCGAAAGCCCTGGCAACACACTTTTCTTCCAAATATCTAATAAATAATGCAAATGTAGATACTAAGCTTAAAAACAGAAATGTTGAAATAAATACCGAGTGTATTTACTCAGAAATGTCTCGTTCCGTTTAAGTGGATTTGATTACGCCCAATGAAAAATTCATATCGAACTCAATATTGCTCTTCTAATCCCTGAGCTATGGATACTTATTTTGTATTTTTGTTGCCTTTTTTTCTTCTACAAAGTCTTCACGTTTTGGGATTATTAGCTCATCCTTTTAAAGTAAATCTTTGCAGATTTGTTTTTGGAGATATGTTTTTGCGTGATAGCATGTTTTTATCTTGTGCAGCAGAACTCGACAATAATTGAATAAGATTATTGTAATATATCTAAACTAGGCTCATTTATTGTCATCGTTTTCATCATTGTTATCTTTTGCTGGTTTTTTACTTTTACCTTTACCACGAGTCGTAACAACAGGAATGTTATAAGGTATAGCAATAGGGTAAGGAACTGGAACATTGTTAGGTTTCGGACAGCTGCAGCCTCCATTGTTACCACGACCTCCATCAAACAGAGACAAGAAGAGAATTGGAAGAATACTCTTCAACGAAGATTTTGACTTTTCCATCACGATAATAGGACTTGGAGGCATTCCACAAGGAGAATTGTCAAATGTAGGCATACAAGGTGGCTGAGGTAGGATGGACGCTACAGGCTCCTGGGCAGGCACGTTGATTTGCAGAATCACAGCTTTATCTGAACCGATCTCGTTAGCCGGGATAGTAAAATTAGTGGTCTTAGTCTCTATTGTTTGAGGATATTTACCTGGAAAATATTTTGTTTGTAAAACTTCTTGTGTAACTGGCTGAGGGGTCGGTGGCTTAGGAGGAAAAGACGGGAACCGCGGAGGTGGCTGAGGAGGGCTTTCAACTTTCTCTATGATTGTTACAGTTTCAGGAGTCGGTTCTGGCTTCGTTGGCGGATTTGATATTTCAACAGTCGTCGTGTATGCTGGATAGTTTTCATAATAATTAGGCCTTACAATGGACGGGGGTGGGTAAGATCCATATGAATATATCTTAGGTGCTGGTAGGTCCGGTAACAATCTGTTGCTAGATGTTATCGATAATACGGAGTTAGGAGGAGGTGGTGGTCCTTGAGGCGGATTGATGTACTCTGTAGTGATTGTTTCCACAGATACACCGATAACGAAGCGAAAGTCATTCTGCAAAACACAAATGCACAACATTAATATCTTGAAAACATTAAAATTTATGAGGTCAAATTTTTACCATACTCACGTTTAAAAATAATAGCAGTATAAAGCAAAGTGTCCGTCGTTGCAGAGACATTTTGAATAATTATTTTGACAAGGAATAGGTTTACTTAATATACCATGTTTGCATTGTGATACGCACACGATAACACCTTGCTTGCTACATACACGATTGCATTCCTGTTTTTCGTAAAATAAAAATAAAGTATGATTTCATCATGTTCAACTATTTACTTCGTAATAAATTCATTGCTGCGAAACCTATCGTAGGTACGTATTGTTAATAAAGTATTCACGAGCAAAATTTCGTATTGTTTTATAGGTACAAAATTAAAAGAAAAATATTTCAGTGTAAACGCTGTGGTCGCATATGTCATCCATTTAATCTACTCAATTACTCTTTCGCTCATAACTCCGCTTGTTAAACTTTTGCGCCCAATTTAAAGTTGAAGCCATTGCAATGTCGATTTTATCTGAAATTATTGCAAAATATTTTAACACTTTAACATTTTTCTTTTTTGGTTAATCAAGATTTTTTTCTTGTTACAGGTGAGCCAAGAGTACGGGTGAGGTGATTTGACACGTTGCGGTCGTGTCACTGGTTTGTCATATCCAATCTTGATATCAGTCTTGTAATCATATTCGATGAAAAAGTCAATAGCTAAACCCGTAAATCTTTTAGAATTCACCAATTCTTTTACGACTTTGGAAAGCCAGCCATCTACCAACGTATAGGTATAACGGGAGATTTATTTGGTGGCAACGCCCAAGTTTTCCGAAAACAGCAAGCTTCGGTAAATCTGACAATGAGGTTTTGCCAAAAACAGTCGTTTAATACCAAAAAAATATCTTCGTGGGTGGTTAACGAAATCTTTAAAGAGACATATCGCATAATCGTAAATATCGATTCAATTTCCCCTTAAAATTGGTCATTTTATCCAATTTACGTTCGTCCGAAAGAATCTTTTGCGAGATCTACCGAATGACGAATGTTCCAATTTTACATACAATGAGTTTTTTTTATATAAATAAATCTTTTGCGGTCGACCTACGTCATTGTTTATAGTTGAATTTGTGCCGAAGAAATCGGAATCAAGAGGAGATATTTATTTATCGTCTGGCTTGTGTTCTACGGCAAGCTAACACTACACCTTGAGTTATGTGATGCAATATTTTTCAATATGCATTGTGATAACAGTTGCTTGTTACGTTGCCAGATAAAGTGCATTCGATAATAGTGTGTTACGTAACGTCCCTCATCGAGGCAATTAATTATCACGTCATACAAATATTTACACATTCCATTCCCGCCAATTCTATTTTATTCAACGAGCAGTTGGACTATGGTAACAGGATGGTTTCTGGAAATTCGTTAATTTTCTTTAAATCCTTAGCACGTGCGAGTTCCGCGTTTTCTTTGATGATTATTGGGGTGTATTCAAAACGTCATCGTCTATTTGTAGCGGAAATGTGTATCCGGCTGGTGTAGTTTTTATAGTCCCCAGCGAACCTTGTGCGGTGTCACGAAGATATTGCTTGGTTGAAATATGGGCTTTACCAAGCACTTGTGACTGCTTTTGATAGCTTTGTATCACGGTAATGGAGATAGAGGCACTCAACGTCTTTATTTCACGTTCCGTTGTGGCATTTCGTGATTCTCAAAATGGTTTGTTTTGGTGGGCGCCATCGATTTATGCTTATGAATTATGGCTTTATTAAAGTATTTGAGTTACATCATCCGTTTCGTGTATCGAGTACTTGAAATATAAGTCTTAAGTAAAAAATAAAAAGACCCAGTATGGATTGAAGTCTCAAATTTTAAAATTAACAATGCTGACGGATTTGTCTTTTGTAGAAAAAGATTGTGATTAAAACATCTTTCATGTAAGTCATCAGCGATAATATTGGAACTCTTCTTTAGTCCGTAAATAACCATTTGTTAGAGGAAGTCGTGTGTAAGGAAGTTTGCTATTCGTAGAGATACGAGCGGCTGTTAACGACGTCCGTCGGTTATCGGTCGCGGTGTGATTGATGTCACTTTTTGTTCTACACGTAATGAGTAGCGGTTAGTATAGAAATTGTTACTTGCTTCATAATGAAGTGTTGTTACCGACTTATAATGTTAGTAGGAATTGGAAATCGTTCCGTAATAGGTGAATGTAGGAAGAGTAAATTGTGTCAGGAACATTATTTGGTAATTGTTGCTGTAAACGCCACGATTAATGTTTTTTTTGTCTTTGTTTCTTGGTATGATCGTTTCGCCAACTCCTAAACAATAGCCTCTTCTCACACGGAGAAGGTTTTAGCTTTAATAAATACCCTTGTTCAAAGCGGATTGTTGATTTCTGACTTGTAATTAGAAATTTTAGGTCCAGGTTTTTCCGATGTTTTCCTTCACCGTATGTCAAAGGTGTCTAAAGAATATTAGAAAGTACTTACATATATCTTGAAAAAAGTCTCATTGGTGCTTGCCTCGTTTCGAAGTCGCCTCTTCATTTACAAGAAGCGGGTGCCTTAACCTTGGGTCCATCACGACACCCTAAGTGGAATACCTAAGTACTAATATTTAAAGAGTACAATATTTTCACCAACAAAAATTCAAAATTCAAGTGGGCGGTATAAATATAACCCAAAAACTTCATACTGTTTAAACAAAGTCGTTTGAATAGCTATCTCTAGCTTTATGTAACTTGGAATTTGTTACTTGAGCTACTGATATTTAAGAGGACAAATGGTTCGTTAGGGAACTTAAATACTAGTATTCAAAGTAGAGCAAGAACCTTATGAAAAGAAATACTTAAACTGTACAAGAATATAGTTTAATACCCAGTTTTTTGAAACTTAGATGTGTCTGTGTGTGTTTGTGTGACACACTATGTTTTTTAAATAATTGATATTTCGATAATTGTGTTACGGTATTTCTTAACTGATTACTCAAAATATTGTCATTAAGTAGATTCAACTGCTCTTAGAGGTCAACATCTTTAGATAAGGTATTTCTAACCATGGCTTAGAATTGTACAGTTAATAATCTTGTTCATCATCAGCCTATAAGTGCTGAGCTAAGGCCTCTTCTCACATGGAGAAGATTTGAGTATTAACTGCTGCTCGATCGGCGGTTTCAAACTAGGTGTCCTCACAATATTTCATTTACCGTATATTATTGGTATGTAAATAAACCTACAAAGTACAAATAGCTTGGAAAAAGTCACATTGTTATTTGCTGGGTTTTAAATCGACCTCCTCATGCAGACCACCACGACATTCATTATACAATAGTATGTTATACTACATACATCCAGACAGGACAATATATAAGATTTTTCCAACAAAGCAATCGTGGTACTTCGTCCAGAATCTCATCAAGCATTTTAATAAATGTGGTCGGGGGTAGCGAAGAGAACTGAACGCTTTGCTGAAAACTAATTTAGACTAGTCTTAGTCATAGTGACCCGGAGGTTAAGGAGATCGCTTTTCTCGCTCGCTTCTTTTGCTTGAAGAAGTGGACACCATAATAATTAAGATTCTAGTGTTTACTCTGTTACTGAGATTCGTAAAATCAGAACAGTCAACTTTTGCTTTGCAAGATATTTGATTTGAAAGCCAAGCATAAGCTAGGGCATCTGAGAATTTCTTGTTATTCTTAACATCTTATTTATCAATGCTACTAAGCCTTTTTGCCTTAGCATTTGTGTCATTAAATTTCCGTGTATTTAATATCTCTGTTATATTTCAAATATCTAAATTGAATTAAGTAACCTTTAGTCTAGACTGCAACTAAAAATAAAACGTATAGACACTAACTATTTTCTAGCCACACATATGCGTACCTAGTTAGATTTTAGTGCCTAAATTCGCATGGCAAGCTGCCAGTATGTTCTGCCTACGAGTTAGTGGGTGTCAATTGACACCATAATTTTCGATACCGCATCGTTCTCGATAGCTCGCTTACTCAATAATTCATGCGGTGATTTCTTTATGTGATAGTCATTTGTGCTTTTTTATTTTTTTATTGGTATCTGCTCTAGTTTTTAAGTTTCTAGGTATCGATGGTGCGTAGGTTTGTTACACCATGCATTTATAATTGCGATTTTGTGTTGAATTTTTTTGAATTTTGAGCTTTAAAAGGCCAAGAAGGCTTATAGTAAACTTGTTACTTTGGAGTTTATCTAATAAGTCTTTCGATATTTTTATGATAAAAAACGAATGCCGAACTAAAAATTATACAGAACAAAATAACATTTAACCAAGCCTTTAACACACTAACTCCAATTTTTACCATACGTATCTTTGAATCATCTCAAAAACACCTCGATAAGGTGTGAAACCGCTATTAAATATGGATTGTGATCAAGCAAATGACGTCACAAGAGAGCCCTCATAGTGAAACGTCACCGACAGCACTTTTTTTGCAGACTTGACATTTTCGCGACACGTATGTATGTATGTCACATTTCTGTGAAATAGTGCAAGCTGATTGATGACTCTCGAACAAACGGGTAAAAACTGAAAAGGCTTTGATCTCATAGAACTGATTTTTGAGGTTACATTGAAGAGGTTTTATTGACACGGATAGAAATAATGAGATATGTAAAAGTGTGTCAGGAGTAATACTACTATTTAGGTATCCTTAACATAATAACTGTAGAGATAGTTTATAATAGTATACAAGGAGGCTATTTCAGTAGTGTACACTACCAAAAAATATCTAGACTATCGAAAATAACCAACAGTCTTCAAACATAAAGGTTTTTAAATAATTTATTCGGTGTTTAATATGTAATATCTTTAATAATAATACTATTTATTTTATCACATTTTGCCATTTCAATTACAATCAAGCTTCGAATTAATCAAATATTTTTATAAAGTCTTAATTTTATAACTATCTTAATTACTACCATCGGAACGTTTTATCTTATTCATATACAATTACAAATTAATCGCTATTCGTTAGTCTCGCTAAAACTCGAGAACGGCTGGACACATTTGCTTAAGTTTGGTGTTGTAAAAATACAAGGAAGGTTTAAAAAGTCAGAGAATTGGTTGATTTTAAGGCCGTACGGAATTTGTTAGGTCAGGTTGTCTTAACCTACCACTGACGAACACACTGACATACTATTATTCTATTTTGACGTTTCAAAAGTATCCACTTAGGGTTTAATTAGAATTGGACAGTTTCGAAGGTCAAAAATAAATTAATTCGACGTTAATTGTCAAAGACTTTAAATAAATCGATGTCTCTATAAAGAAACACGAACAAAGTACATCAGAATTTATTAAGAGATTTAATTGAATGTTGCGTCAATCGTTTCTGTAATTGTTTTGCTTTCGATGTAATTATAAGCTTTCTCTGTCTTACGTACGTATAATTTTGTTGTCGTCTACTTTTCTTATTTATCGATTGAGTGATAAATGTATTGGATTGTCGGCTTAGATTATGTTCTGTTAGTAAGAGGAAAACTAACTGACGGCCAATCCGGTGTTTTGAAAGATAGCTTGACGCCTGTGACCATTTTCTCGGTTTTTTTTCTTGTTAATAACTGTTCTGGTACTTGTATATTTGCTTCTATTATAGTGTATAGAGTATACTTTAGTTTCAAGGCCAAGATTTTAGCCAACATTCATCATCATCAAATAAGCATTTTTTACAAGTAGATATTATTAAACGGAGTTTTTTATATTGATCGCTTGAACTTTACTACAATTTATTAGGTACCAAAACAATCCACAAAGATTATATATTTGTAACACAATGTAAAGTTTCGTAATATATAATAAAAGAAATCAAACCTCTGAGTTTGATTCGGCATTTTTTCTCTAAGAAGACATATAGGAAATGGCGACTTCATCTATATTTTTTGTGTATTGTTGACGTATGAAAAAAATGCTGTTTTATGGCCTCTTTACTAAAACAAAGGAATCGTTTTTATGTTTTAATAATAAAGACGTTATCAAAATACTAAATCAAAAAGAAATTAGAACACATTGATTTCTTTTCAACTATGTCCACAATGTCAATTGAAAGTACCTAAGTAATGATATTTATGTGACCAGACTCTTAAGATTTTCCATAAATTTTCCAATCTCGCAATGTTAGTGCTTACAACTTGGACATATTGAGATTTATTACCTACCTAACGCAACGTGTAGATTTCGCGACATATTGCTCGTTTGTCGAGTAATTTATTGCCCATATTGAATTAGAATGCAGCAATGGACGGTGAGATTTGTGATGGAGAAAGTACAGAGAGGGAAAATTTCGAAATCTATTAGAATCAATGTCTCACTAATTTTTGCGTAAGACTTGAAATTTCTAAATTGAAATGTCCGTCCAAGCGTTTTAGTTGTTTATTGTCTTATTGTTTTGTTTTCACGGTTTCATATCGAATTTCCATTGCACATTAAGTACTTATCTACTTTTAGTTTTCTTTCTAATTTATATCCGTAAACAGAAGTTTTCGTTAAACCAGTCGAATAATACCATTTTACATAATATGAACACACAGAAAACCGGCGGGAAACAACCAAAATATTGTGTTTCGCCGTGTGAGCTAGGTTACCGAATATCCAATCCTTCTCCTCCCCCAATCCCAAAATCCTGAATACCCTAATTCCCAAAAAGTCGGAAATGCACTCGTAACCGTTCCGTTTTGACGGTTTGCAATAAGCGGCGCTGATTGCTTACCATCAGGTAACTCGTAGGATCGTTTGCCGTCCTATCACATAAAAAGAAATATAAAGAGAAAGCAGAAAACTAATATGACAGCCTAGAATAAGAGAATGTGCCTCATTTAAATTTTAATACTGCAAGTTCATCCTTTTTGTAAACTGGCTGCATCATGGAATTCTGTGACGTCACATACATAACAGACTCTTGGAAAAAATGCATCACCAGCTAAGATAACGTTGCCACAACATTAAATATAACACGGAAGTATGCTTACTGAGAAGCTAATCTACGTCTAGTTGCCTAACAAATGATAAGCGGCTGGCGGCCGTTGGCCTGCGCGCGAGTGGAACCGCGGTGTCGGCGCCGCGTACCTGCGCGCGCGCAGCTATCGGACGAACCGACGAACGCGCCTTATCTCTCGTTGTGAAACGTTCATGAACAAGGACGATTCTTGTGCAATGTCGAATAAAATCACGTGATACTGTGTTGTGTTGATAAACATGGTTTGTATTTGTTGCATTAGAATGTTTAATGATCACTCGAAACCTTATTTTTAAAGGTTTACAATTTACTAATAAAAACGTACAAATATTTGTGTCTAATCTTGTTTTGATAGTATATTTTTATCAGCAAAGATAATATACAAAATAAATACTCACAGATTACACAATTATTATTTTTTTATGTGTAAGGGCGGCAACCAACCTTATACCAGAGGACCTGAGTGTGATGCCGTGGAGGGTAAGGACTAGGCTTTTTAGGACACCTCACTCATACGGCGAAACGCAACGCTGTGGTTGTTTCACACCAGTTTTCCATTAGCACTACGTTCGAGCAGACCCATGTGTCTAAGCGTTGGCTCGCCTGCACCAATAACATTCTATTATCATTAAAATTAACGATTGAGAAAAAACAATTATAAAGTGATGTTCTGTTAGGCTATGTTAATAAAATGAGACTCTATAATCATTTTCTTAATATCTTCTCTCTCTCTCTCTCTCTCTCTCTCTCTCTCTCTCTCTCTCTCTCTCTCTCTATCTCTCTCTCTCTCTCTCTCTCTCTCTTTCTCTTGCTCTAACGGAAGATTTAAATAAAGAATAAGTGTCATCTGCTCAACCTACATTCGTATTAATGTTCTTCCTTAAATCAAAACCAAAACATCCTTAATTCTGTCCACAAGTCCTATATTTCTCCATCTGTCTGAGGGTTTCTTAAACAACCTAAAACTTCAGTTATTCATCAACATAATGAAATGCAAACTTATTGCTGACGAGCTGCCTAAATAGTTTATCTACTTACAAAACTTCGTTCTGAATTCAAACTTAACTCCTTACTTAATCAAATGCAAATTCGTTTAGTCTCAGGTTGATAAGCTCCTTATATTATTCTGAACCTGTCCACAGACTCGTTCTAATTGTCAATCTGTCTAGTTAGATTTGTAAAGCAATAGCCGATTGTAAAGGTATATGCTTTTTAGGGCTGATTTTTCAATAGTCAGATAAATGTTATCTGAGCAATAAAATTGTTTCTGTCACTGTCTTACACAAACATTCTGACGCGACAGCATCATTATAATTCCACAGGTAACTTTTATCTTACCGTTCAAAAATCAGCCCATAATGTAATAGAATAGAGGAAACGACTGAGAAGAACTACCAGTAAACAGTTCGCGCCAAAACGGACTCTAAATAAGTCCAGGTTTCCTCACGATGCATGAAGTTGCGATTTTTGACAAACAAAGAGTATTGTATCATAAATCCAGGGCTGGCATCATCGCTTTGGGATTAAACCCTTTATGAATAAAGATAAAAAAAAAATTATCCATTTTTTTTTCAAAATCATCTAGTGACTTCTCCCACCCAGGGTAAGGCGAGAGAGAGTGTCAGACTCTTACTGACTAAAAACCCCTAGTTCCTTCTGCTCTGGGCCGAGGTCTCTGGGCCGAGGTCTCGGTGCCTCATTGCGCTTAAACCGCAACCTCAGTTGATCATCAGCGCTATAGGGCCCCGTCTGTGGTGGTCTATAGGCTCTTTGAAGCGGGCGCGGAAAGCTACGCACCGTACACTCGGGTCTGATTCTGGTCGGGAGACGAGCGACCCTTACTCGCCGTCCGCAGACCCGCACTAACGGTGACGGGGAGATCATCTGTCATATCATAAATGCTAAGGTATTTATGTACTGAACATATAATGTAGATAATTAAATATTCGATGATGCCGTTCTAAGTTTAGAAGCTATTCCCAAATCCCAAGTCAAGTTCAAAGTGTTTCCACTGAGAGCTAATGTCAACAGGTTTTAGTCTAGATTTAAGACAAAACCAATAATTACTTTATACGTAAACGAGCCTGGTAAAAAGGTAGTTCAGCAATTAGACTTACCTATAGTTAGGAACAATGTTACCAACCTTTTTTCTGAATGACAACTTACCAATAAAGGAAAAACAGATTGTGTACAAAAATACCATTAAAACCTCTGCAGAACCTCACAGTGTGTTTGACAACAAAGCCACCGATAGATTCCATTGAACGATGCAAACGCCAGTACATCAAACTATCCTAAAGCCGCAAAAATATTAATCGATTTACAACCAAATCTCAATGCTATAAAGTTCAAAATGTATAAAAGAAAATAGGTTAACTAGATGTGCTGATGTTCGTACGTGAGTGAGAGAAAACTCACGTGACCGCGGTGCGTAATAGCTTGGAACAAAGCGAAGCGATTTGTATGCATCAGCTAACTGTCGCGAGACCCAAGTGTGTGGCCCGCTTCTGTTCCGTGCAAAGGAATCTTTAAAAGCATAGACACTTCGGGGCCATAAGCATTGAACACGTTGTATCTTTGACATGTGTCACACATTTAAAATGTTTTTATTTTCTTGAATGGCATAGTTTTTAAATTGTTATTTCTTTCGTCCTTGCCCATTACAAGAAGTTGTCTATTTCTTTCTTATTAACCTAACATGCTTCCATGACTTTTCTGTCTGTAGAGAAAACATCTTATCATAATTATTAAAATTGGGTTCACTCAACTTTGTATAGATATGTATATTATCTATGATGAATCTAATGAATTCCATTACCTCTAAGTAGCGTTTTCAACAAAATTGAAGACTAAGAAAATGGGTGCCATTTTTTCTCTTTTACAATTCCCGTTTAGGTACGCATGAATAATATAATGTAGATTCTATTTTCAATTTACGAACAGCTTTTATCAAAAAAGGCTGAATATCAATTTGTATCGATTAAACAGGAATAGGTATTTAATATTTTTTTCATATTTAAAATATTCCAAATATAATATAATATAATTTCAAATTGAATTGTCACATTGGAAGCAAATCTGCCGTACGTTCAACTTAATTCAAACGTAGACTGATTTTATTTCAACTGTTTGTATCAATGCAGTGATCAGCAAACGATATAAAAATTAAAAGAAAAACGCTAGCTGTAGAAATGGCCACAAGTCTTCTGAAATACATTAAACGTGTGATCTTTTATGGATGGGTTACCTTAAAGCTAGATATTTTTGTAAAACTTTTCATCCGCAATTTTAACTCCTGAAGTTTCAGTCAAAAGTTTCTCGAGTGGCTTTTGCATGGAAATGCAAAGCTATTTTCTAGGGATTCAATGGAATTTTAAAAGTGACCTTTCGGACTTTGGTGTTGGGTTGAATTTTGTGTGAAGATGGATTATACTGCACTGGTGCATTGCCCTTGACCGGTGTGGAGAGCCCGGGCCGTTTACTAAAGCCTTCAAATGAAATATTAAAGTTTATTACGCGACACCACTGTGTACTGGGAATGTGTTGAATGAGTTCTGTAATGAGCAAGCGAACTTGGTAACTTGGAAATTAATTTTAATTATTTCACGTCAACAAACGGTCTAGCAATCTTACTAGTTTATAAAATGTTCGATGTTAATAAAATGTTAATTTTATGTGGCTGTGGTCCGCACGTTGTTTTAAAAGTAAATAAGTATCATAAAACCATATTTTCGTCGTTCACCAAGCAAAATTTCAGTCACTACAGGTACCGAAATGGTTTTAATGACCAACTTGAGAAAGAGCACTTGATACACATGTTTAGCAGCAGGACTTGTGAATTTAGCTATTGTAATGTAGTGTTTTCTAAAGTTTCTAACTATATACTATCTTTTTAATAAATATTGTTACTTTTCTAAAACTCACATAGATTACACAATGCATTTTAATAATTCATTCATGTGTTAGTTTTTTTTTTATTATTAAAACTTGCAATGCACAATGGGTAAATAGGCAGACTTAATATCCTAGGCGTTTTCCACCAGTCGAGCCTCGGGTGATGCAGAGATGAGCGAATGGTTGGTGCAAGAAGCAAGGAACCCGACTTAATTTTATATAAGAAGTTCAAGTCAAAATTATAAAAGTGTCGAGTACCGAGAAATGGTTAACGAGGTTCACTTCAATTATACAATTAAAGCTCAAACCTAGTTAATTTTGGTGACAAATTGAGTTATAAAAACCCATAGGTGTACGTGTGAACTTCACACGTAATTTTTCCCGAGGAAAAATAGCACGGAATTTATATTGGAACGATCGGAATTTTCAAAGTTTATTTCGAGGGAAAATATCGGTCAATTTTACAGCAGAATCTTGATATAAATGTGTGATTCATAAACCGTAAAGTGGGTTGAGGGTTGACGGTACATGTCTGCAATAGATACATTTTAGACTGGACAGAGATGTCCAACTTGCTGTAATTTCGTAATACGATCGACTAGTCCTTTTGTGATTTTTAAGTTCCTTAAGATATGTAGGTATAAGAATGAATCTATGAATTTCATTAAACGATAATCCTTATGGCCAATCTAACTACCGTTCTTGGAGACATTAATTAATGTTTACTTAAAGCCCTAGTACCAATTTTGCTCCCATTAACGAACTGTGGGCAGGCCCCCGCTAGGTGGACCGACGACATTGTCAGAGTCGCGGGGAGCTAAAGGATGCAGGTGGCAACTTGTCGTTCGACGTGGAGGACTAAGGGGGAGGTCTTTGTCCAGCAGTAGACGTCTCCCGGCTCATGATGATGATGACGATGATGATGATGATAATGAATATAGTGATAAGTCATTAAGCTATAAAAATCCTGCTAGATATAGGTAACCACACCTACATATTTTCAAATAAACATTTTCACCTAAAACAAACTTAAAAACACATCATTATAGCATTTATACCGGCACTGGCATAAATAAATTAAATCTTCTGTACTTCGTAGTACCTAAAGTAAAAAAATTTGCTTGAATGAACCTGTTTCATACATTTTCATTATCCAGGAGAGGTAAGCAGTCTAGACTAGAATTAATAATAACTAATTAAGAGTCGGTGCAGACTGCTTGGAGTCTTTACTTAAAACAAAACCTATGTTCTTGTTAAATGGTGGTGTTTAGACGTCATTTTATATTACTTACTAGGTAGTATTATTATTATAGGCTGCATGAAATAATGAAACCAATAATTTTGATGATCTAGAATTGGAACTATAAAGACTATAATATAAATATGGATCAGGAGAACACGATACATATAGCGCTACATTTTAATATTATACTTATAAAATACTAAAAACCAGCAAAAAAATCTCCTTTTTGAATATAGAATAATTAATTACTAACGCTACAATCACTGACACAGTTTAAAGCGAAGTCGCTTTCTCTGTCCCTATGTATGCTTAAATCTTCAAAACTACGCAACTGATTTTGATGCTGTTAGTAGATAGATAGATAGTAGATAGGAATTTCCATATTACGTAAGTATAATAAGTATAACACCCATTTAACAGTGGAAAAAAATTGTGCGAGTATAGCACCCGTGCGAAGCCGGAGCGGGTCGCTAGTTAAGTAGTTATAACTTATTGTTAATTATTAATTGCATAGGTCATTCATTTGCCATGTAGGGTTAAAATATATTCACACAGCTCTAAAGAGAGTGTATTAGGTTAACTTACTTTAAAATATACTTTTTGAGTTGATAATAAAACAATGAAGTCATGGTGGATAAGTTTCCTATTATCTTAATTGGTACCCACGTAATTTCCCATAATTATTAATATTATGACGATATTAAAGTACTCAATTTAGCACACTTTCTCAAACTTGGAAAGACATTGGAATGATGTAAAACCCTCATTATAATGGAAACTGAACACTGATCGCTCCACTAAGCAATACTTTCGACAATTTGAGTTCCTACTGCCTATAATCTGTTAACGGACTATGGTTTATATTTTCTACTAGCTTATTGTCAGCAGTTTCACTAGCTGCAAATATATCTACTTGTATAGTTACCCTCCTAAAAGTATCTTCATATTCCTTTTATCAAGATTACGCGAGCTTAATTACTACCTATGTGACGCTTTCAAAAACATTCCATTTTCCAATTTCAAAATATCCTCAACAGCTGTTTCAAATAAAAACTATTTTCTTCCAAACTCCGCAAAAAATCGTAAACAGCCAGTGAGGCTTGAAGTTCAGACCAGCACGTGTATGTATACTTTATTCCAATAGAATTTTTACCTTATCACATAACGATAAAGATTAAAATCTGTTCCGATAGTTTTGTGTATTTTGATTTGCTGTTGTCCGTTGCAATAAAATTTAGACCGTCTGCCGCCCGGGTGTTGTTCGGTCACCGGGAGTCTGGGACCCGGTTTAGGCCCGTATTGATTGGCGCAGATCCCTCGATAGATTTCTCACATTATTAAGGATTTCTCATGGGAAACAAGAAACTATTTCGTTGGTTACAGCTGTTTCAATTACTTTTAAATGGAGCTCAATGAAATTGGTGGGTTGGATTCAATTGGATAAGACTGAACAAACAAGTAAACCACAAAATATTTTTTACAAGTAATTGTTTATTTGTGAAATTATTTTTGTACAAGTAATTTAGGTTTCATCTCTTTTCTATGCCTCTAGAAAGAATTTTAGTACAAACAAAACAAAAACTCACAATAGTCACCTTTAATGTGACCTATTTCAAATATCTAACTACGTCAGATTGTAGCAATTTCAACTCCAAAGTCCTATAAAACATTGACTCGAAAGTTTAAATTCGCGTTTCATCTGTTTCCCAGCTATTATTGATAGCGGGCCGGTCGATAAGGATGCGAC